TTGTATCTAAATAAATCAATAAATATATATATAATATAATATATATATATATATATATATATATAATGATTTATTATTTATGTAAATATTTATTTTAATTTCTTTCTTGCACTACTACTGCCCACCCACTACTTCCTATGCCACTGCGTTAGGTTGACTGGAAGAAATCTCTTTTAGAGATAAGTTCGCCTTTGCTAACATTGTTATTAACTTATTGTTGTTACTGTATGTTTTAGTGCAATAAAGAATATATATATATATATATATATATATATATATATATATATATATATATATATATATATAAAACATTAGTCAAAATATGTACTATCATAATTGATATTTTAATATACGAGTACTAGGTATATATACGTTTTTCTATTGAATAATGTGATATACTCGTATGCAAACAATCTATTGAGCTACGATCTAATAATTTACCTAGAGATGCCTCGTTTAGAGATGAAACACGTGTCGCGAAACGTGCGTGATAGAAATAGCAGTCGGAGATTGATAGCTAATATGGAAGGTTGTGGAACATCTTGTAGTAATAGTGGTGGTCAATCTTCGATTAATGATAGTCACACGCATAATAATGGTGGCGGAATTAAACAAATTTAAACCTATTCAAATAACCATTGCGTTACTTACCTACTATTTTATCGTCTTCGCAACTTACTCCCAGATGTCACTTAAAAAAAAATTATGCTGACCGTATAAAATTCACATTGGAAAATTATTTGAGTCGTCTCCCTCGAAACTTGGCTGATAAAGAAACAATTTGTATTCAATAAGCCTCGCGAACCCACGGCAGTAAGTGCTGAGCCAAAATATAGGTAGCTCAGTTGGGAGTTTTGTTCGTACATATGCTCCAGTAAGTATCTACCTATCTACTAGGGGTGGGTAATATATAGCAATATCTATATATTTTAGTTGCAATATATATATATATATATATATATATATATATATATATATATATATATATATATATATATATACTGGTCAAATAACGAATACGTTAAAAGTCTGTTATAAAAAAAATAATGTTGGATAACAAACTTATAACATATTCGAAAATAGATATCCGACCGATATGGGCGATATCGAAATAGGTGATGGCCTTTTGTACAAAAGTCAATTGCTTGGGTACCTCTGTCCGATTCGTGTTTCTACCGTGAAGCAGTTGTGTTTGCATGGCTGTGTTTCGGTTTGAAGTGTGGGATATGGTGTGAATTTACTAGGTACAGAGGAATAACACCTGAGTCCTCAGGAATGGCAACGTATGGGGGGTATTATGGGCAAAACAGTATACTCTATTATGTCCATATATATACAACAATATATACATATATTACAACAATTGAAAATAAATGGAATGATGTTACTGAGATTTGAAAAAAATATATATTCCTTACTAAGTTTGTTTCACTAATTAACCAATTATTGTGAAATTTGGTATACCTACGCATACTATATGGCATAGGGGGAATGTGATAGTTAGTAATGAAGTCTAACATCCCCATTACTAGCAGTAGCCTATCAGGTCGACCTCCACGCAGTTCCCTCTGGAAACCATCATGGTTAATACATGTGGAACTCGTCACGATGGGCTAACTGACCTGCTTTCACTGTCATCTATCATCATTTCATGCCTCGCCAGCATATACTGATAGTGTAAGCGGAGTTACCATTCCATTATCACCCATAAAAAAAAACATATGAGATAGAGTAGGTACTTTTTATTCCGGTCAATGAACGTATTCCAATCACGCCGACAAAATCGCGGGCAGAAGCTAGTATAAAATAAATACCGTAAATTTGCACCAACTACCTGGTGCTGAAACTAGAATATTCTGCATTATTATGCACTAGACAATAAACAGAACACCTATACCCGACCCCATTTAGAGTAGTACATTAGCTAAACTGATCCGACCGAGAATAGAATCGGAGACCTCGTTTACGTAAAGCAACGCGCCCACATCTGTGCCACGCAACCGACGTAACAAAATATATGCTCACGAATATAATTCTCAATGGGGTAGTCGAAGTATTTGTCCACTGTTGGTGTCGAAAAAGAAAGAAGAAAAGAAAGAATGAAGAAAAAAGAAAGAAAGAATTAAAGAAGAAAAGAACAAAGGAAAAAAATATTTTTATTCAAGTAAATTTAACTACCCCCCCCCCCCCTTACTACGACGACTATGACGAACCGTGTTTCTACCGTGAAACAGTTGTGTCTGCATGGCTGTGTTTCGCTTTGAAGGATAGGATATGGCAGTGTATTTACAAGGTACAGAGACATAATCTTAGTCCTCAGAAATGACAACACATGGGTGAGGGGGGTATCAGGGGCGAAACAGTATACTCTGTTATGTCGATGGTACTGATCATGTCTATAGGCGCTGGATACCACTTTCCATTAGGTGGACCATCAGCTTGCTTGCCATTCTAAGTAATATAGAAAAAAATACAGAGTACTTTACATGAAATTGCCTCAATCGCATACATAAAAAATCAGTGAGCACATCTCGAAGCGAATAAAAGGTTTGTTCATTATTAAAATATATATTGGCCTTTTGACAGATTCTCAGAAAGACGGATAACTCTAAGAACCGATTTGCAAAAGGATAGAACTCAAATATATTACGGAAAATTCTTCATGCATTAATTACATTTGACTTCCTAGGAAACAATATACGATGTGTATATAGTCGGGAAATGTTAGCATTTTCCATTATGTTAGTACTTATTGAAAAGGTAACCTAATGTCTTTGAAACGATCATAGAAATACTCTTCGAATGAAATTAGAAACATATCAATACATTCAATTATTAATCGACGAATGAGTGAGTATACTTCATTTCCATTATACAATATGAGGAATATCGATGGGAGAGAAAGGTTCTTGAGTGACAACCCCGTATGGCCAAACACAGTGTAGAATGACCACCCACTAGGTGGAGTGACGATCTCAAATTCATTGTAGGGAATAAGTGGATGCAAGTGGCTCAGGACCGTTCTTTATGGCAGTCTTTGGAGGAAGTCTATATTCAGCAGTGGACAGATAATGTCTGAGATGATGATGGTGATGAATCAGCAAGATAAGTAATAAAATACAATTGTACAAGTACAGTATTTTTTTCTTTTCTACTACCAATAGATGGTATGATAATACCAATGATCAGGTCATTTTTTATTAATTTATTTCCACTAGCTTCTCCGCGAATTTCGTTTAAATAACCGGGATATGTCGATTGTCAGCAATAAATAGTAGCCTATATTTTTCTCCATTCCATATGGTACGTTTATGATAAATTGCATGATGATTGGTTAAAGCCATTAAGGCGCTAATAGGTATTAGCTTTTACTGGCGACTTCATCCGTCAGACCGTGAAGTGTTCATTGACCAGGATTAAAAAATAGCCTATCTCAAATAAAAAAATATTATTATTATTTATAATATATTAAATATATATAACATGTTATATAGGGCGTAATAGGTTTTAATAGTAATGTAACCACGTAATCCTAACTTTACATGTATATATCATATATAACAAATAATATAACATAATGACCACGTGGTTTACTATACTTGTTCACTCTTGATACGTCAGGGAGCTAGACTCTGTTCAACGGTTGGACAAGAAGTGTCTCCCCACCCAAAACCGACTAAATAGATTAGTTTTTAGATCAAAAAACTGATTTTGTCACAATGGAAGACGGTTTTTTTTGTGAAACACAATCTTTAATGGACACAAACTTACTGAAATTAAGAAAAGTAAGAGAAATTAAGAAAAGTTATAGGTATAGACCTACAACTTTTTATTCCTATTAAGTTACAAGTCACAAAGCACATAAAGCACCAACAGTTGGGACTTGCTTTAGTGAATAAAAATGAGATGTACTTTGATCTAATGCGTACTGCATTACGGATTCATCTCACAGACGTGCATGCATGACAGTATGCAGCTAAACTATTTGTAGATAAAACTCACCTGCCATGCATCTACATGCAGTCATTGGTCTTAAACAAATTTATTATTATTAATCTAAAGATCGACCTCCATGCGGTTCCCTCTGGTTCCATCGTGGTTAGTTCTTGATGAATTCGTCATGACAAGTTAACAAAGCAGCTTTCATCCTCACTTAATGATTCCTCATTGGTACTCTACCTGCCTATTCCGTTAGAATAGACGGAAGTTTAAAACTTTTTAATTCCATGGTATATTTTATGTGTATATAAAGTAAAAATTATATTTTTGCCAGTTCTGAATCGATTTTGAGTATTCTTTTTACAATCCATAGGATAAAATATATTCCATGTCAGTCTCATACTAATTTTGTTACGATGGAAGTCGCATTTCAACCGATTACAAAGAAAGGAGGGGAGTCTCAGTTTGATTCTATTTTTAATTTTGTTGCCCCATACCTCCGTCAGTAATAATCCGATTTGTAAAATTTTTCTTTTATTTCATATAAACATATATCCAAATTAGTTTCATAGAAAGTTATAGTTAAACTATAAATCGATTCTGTAGTTTTTAAATGCTTTTGACACAATTGAAGTCAGTTTTTTTTTATACAGTACAATTTTAAAATATTTATGAAACAATATATCTAAATACGATTAAAATTTGTAATAATTATGTCAGAAAACTGAAAAAAATTGTATGAGTAATTAATAGGGACAACCGATGGAGAAGAAGGGTTCTTGAGTGGTGACCGCGTACGAGCAAACGCAGTATAGGACGACCCCCCACTAGATGAAGTGACGACCTGAAATGCATTGCAGGGAGTCAATGGATGCAGGTGGCTCAGGACCGCTCTTTATGGCAGTCTATGGGGGAGGCTTATGTCCAGCAGTGGACGGATAATGGCTGAAATGATGAATTAATAGAGTATTAGAAAATAAAAGATATTTTCATACAAAGTAATTCAATATTTATTATTATTACAGATTTTTTTTTTATTTTCTGTAATTACAGATCACGACACAATTTCAACAATCAACAGCTTAATATTGTCACAAATTACTTAAAAAATATTGCACTAAAATATCTACGTCTCATCTAGACTTCTAAAATACATAACAAATTTAGTGTTCATGCAACACATGTGATAAAGGAAATTAGAATCAACTATGCAATGATTATTTATAAATACTTAGATATTATAATGATAACCCTTAAGAAAAGACGGTAGTTGCGGCGGTAAATTATCTAAATAAGCAAATTGATTTGAATTAAAAGACTCCACTTTTCCTGGTGATTTTTCGATATGCGACGAATTTACAATGTCTTTTGACAATTTACTGTTACTTTTTTGCCCTTTATTACATAATCCTGAAATTTCCAATAACTCATTGGAAACGTTAATATACCTGTCCTTATGGTATGAACAAATAGAGTCTGTAAAATAGAAACACTTTTTACTTTTGCAACGTTGAGTATATTGTTTTGATACCAAACGAGATTCACAAGGTTTAATAACAATATGTGGTGATTTTTCGTTGATTTCTATTCGCTTTTTGTTATTTGTAGAACATTTTTCTTTGCACTTACCAGGATCACAAATCTTATGTCTTCCTTTGGGACTTTTTTTAACTTTTCTCCAATCTGTTCCACATAATTCCGGTCTAAAAAGCATTGTGTCTTTATCTATTTCTGAACTTTCGAATGAATCTGAAAATTGTAAATCTTTACAAATACATTTAGATATAACGCAGAAATTATCATCTGGTTTAGAATTACATGTTGTAGCTACGGCTTTATCAACTGAATTCTTTATACTTCCAATAATGTATTGAGAATCGTCCTTATATTTACTTTCCATATCATATTTTTTTATATCCTTTACAACTTCTTCATTTACTAAAACGTAAATATTTCCTGATGACGTAATCTTCAACGATCCATACTGATCACTTACTTTATCGTCATTATTTAATATTATTGTAATATCACTAGACTCTGTACGTTTAATAGGGATCATGTTTTGCGAGCTACCAACTAAATAACTTTTTATATTGTTAATTAATTTTTTTTTCGATTCTTTGTTTAATACAACAGCATATTGTCCAGACATAATTCTTTTTAATAAAGCAGATGATTCTGTAAGTAAACTTTGGTTATTTTCAAGTCTAAATTTAACTTTTTCGTACAAACACGAGTTACTGCTACTTGTTATACCAAGAAACTTAGACTTTTTTACTTTTTCTTTATTGAGTTGTAGACTTGATGAAGGCAACTTATCTAATAATTTCCTTAGTATTTCATCAAATGATTTACAATCTACTGCGTCCGGGCTTAACTCTGACGTTCTTTTTGTAATAGCTTCGAAATCAGGTCCGTTGACCAAAATTTTTATATTTCCTGAAGGAGATTTTACTATAAAAGCATTTTGAGCTCTCTTGTGAAATTGAACAATCTTCAAATGCTATTTCATAATTACCAGAATTGCTTCTAACTAAAGTGCACTTGTAATTTTCATCTATTGAAATACCTATTGTATGTCTATATTTCTTTTCAAATTCTTTATCTATAACAGTTATATAATTATCAGATGGTGTTAATTTTAATACCACAGGAGGTTCAACTTCATTATTAATCCCTTTTATTCTCATTTTATAAAATTTTGCGTTCTGTTCGAAATTTATTTTATCTTTATCAATATTGAACATTGTGTCTGCAATAACCACTAACATCTTTTCGTTAGAAGTTTTTCGTAAAATTGCATTAGTTGTTTCATTAATAAGTTCTTGGTCAATATCTATTAAAAGAGTGTCTGAATCTGACTTGTGTAATAAAACGGGAAATTCCTTTGTTTTATTGAATTTAGTATTAAGTATAGATATAGTATTAAAACTTATTGCTATATTTCCTGATATTGTCTTTAACAATCTTCCTTCGATGTATTTGGAATAATTGTTTTCTGCTTTAATCTTTAATATGACATTTTCTAAACCTGGATTATATTGTTTTTCTACTTGTATTGCTTTCATATGTTTTGAATCTGTAATTAATTAAAAATCATATTTTGAAAATTAATAATTATCAAAAATATTAATTTAGTATTTAATAATTTACGTGAGAGTACAAAACAGTTGAAAGCAGTTATTAACTATTAATATAAAAACTACATATATTTTATATAATAATTTCTTTATTAAATCAATACTACATAATAATTATGCTGTACACATTTTTTTCTTAAATCTTTTTCCATTATTATTTTAGCTTTTATCATTGTTCCAAACTTATCACTATGACAGTTTCATTTTACAACTTCACATTGCCTACTTTAATAAATTATTTATTTAGTATTGAGGAGTCATATATCTTTATATCTAATATAGTAACAAATGTTACTATATAAACGTCTCTATCTTCTAAAAACTCGTTAGTGATATCTTTTTCATCTAGAGTTGAAGTACTTTTCTATATTGATATTTTAGTTCGAGAAACTATTTCTTTAATCAATAATTCCACCGTTACTAATTGAATAGCCGAAGAGTATGCATTATTATTTTTGATTTTTCCATTGATTACTATAATCCCTTTTATAATCTCTTTAACTGCGACACAGACATTACTTTCAAACAAATAATTATCAGAATTTTAACCACGCATTTCTAATTTTCGTTTTTTTTTTTTTGTACATCTATCATGGTTTTTGTTATTATTCTTACGATAATTTTAAATTTTATAAAAAAAATTAAATTCTTAGACAATGATTTATTCTTTTTTGACATACAGATATTTTTGTTGCTTTTATACGTATTGATCCGTCTAACCTTAACATCTTTATCTAAGCAAATCTTCATCAATAAATAACGAGAAAATATTTTAAACAAAGTATTTAGCACTAATAAAGTATTATCAATAGATTAATTTGTGCAAACACATCCTTTTGATAATTTTCTTTCCCTGATTTCATTACTATTTAGTTTACAGACTGCTATTACCTAAGATGAAACAGTATTTAAATATAAATTAAACTAAAACCACTCGCATGGTGGTTGCATTTTTATAGATACAAGAGAAATAATAAAACCATCATGCTTTGTAAAATTTAATTGCAAACGATTCATATAAATTTTTCTTTAATTATATAGATACCAAAAATAAACACGGTTATAAGATTTATTTGATCACAGACACGATTGATTTGGGTTGATGAATTCATCGCTTATTAACGCATAACTTACTTTCTCAATAGAAGTCACTTCAATGTATCTTCCCATTACTTCCTCAATTATTCGATCACGCGAATGGTTCTTAATATCTATAATAAGGAAATTACTATATCACTTAATTATATAGCTTCATAAGACTGTTCTTTGTGCTCTCACGTAAGCTATATTTTACTTACCTTCATGACGTGTGCACAACTTTTTAGAATCATTTTCGCAATTACACATAATCTGAAAAAAAAAATATGAATATTAATTTATTATTTATTTATTTAACACTTTAGTGTACCAAAAACATAAAAAATGAACAATGACATATAAACAATTCAACTGAAATACAGTAGCATGAAGTACAGACTAAAATATACATATAAACGTACAAAAGGCAGTCTTATCGCTAGGGCAATCTCTCACAGATAACATTTATGTAAATAATAATTGGATAAGCAATGTATTTTTTCATTCTTTCATACCCTAGTGTCACGTTTTCTTTTCCATGCATAATAACTTATTAAAGGACAGAAACTTTAATGAATACTATTGATTTATTTCTGCTTTTTAGAAAACTTAAGAAATATACCACTGTAGCTTGATTAAACAAAAAGATTTCAATTAGGTACTCACCTTATCAGATAACATTGAAATATCAGGTAAATTAGGATCCTTGAGTTTTGACAATGAAGATGATGAATCTGGACCAAGGAAACATTGCGCCGCTTGCATATTCTTTGAGAAGGTGCAAGTTTGTTCTTGACAAGGGTTTGGTCTCCAAGCTGCTACATCTGTATCTACGCAACTTGGATGTGCGTGTGAAGCACAATCAGCAACACAAGAAGCACCATCTTTATGTGGACAAGCCACCACTTCGCTCTAAGAAAACAACAGAAATATAATAGATTTTTGTGTCTTTTTTTTTATACAACTTAGAATGGCAAACAAGCTGACGGCCCACCTGATGGAAAGTGGTAACCGTCGCTTATAGACATGAGTAGTACCATGGACATAACAGAGTATTTTGTTTCGCCCATGATACCCCCCATGCGTTGCTATTTCTGAGGACTCAGGTGTTATTCCTCTGTACCCTGTAAATTCACGCCATATCCCACCCTTCAAACCAAAACACAGCCAGGCAAACACAACTGCTTCACGGTAGAAACACGAATGGGACAGAGGTGCCCAAGCAATCGAGTTTTGTACAAAGTCTCCCTTCTAATAAACTTGAAGTGTCTAACTTGAAGTGATAAACTTACTAAATTACTGACAATGAAAAGATGATTTTATAAAATATTAACATTTTTTCTGTTATTTTTTTAGTATAAAATGCTCAATAAACTTTCACTGACATCTGTATGGATAAATATGGACTTACTTACAATATCTTCTTTATCTTGTGGAGAACAAGGAGTAGGGTCATCAGAAGGAGGTGGAGCATTCTTAGTACATATACAAGCATCAGGTCCCTTTGGGCAGTTACATTCACTCGTACCACCCCAACGGCGACACGGATCCTAAAACCCAACATTTTAAATTTCAGACATACTTAAATATGAAATGTAATCCCATGATTTTACCTGCTCGAATTTGTTTACTTGGATTCCCATAAGAATTTCCTTTTTAAAGATAAATTACAATATATAAGGTGTTTTTAGTTTCTCATTTCTGAATCCATCAACTTCAGCTGCAGGTTGAACGAATCAGTCTCTTCTTTTATTAATAATAAGTCAGAAATGAATTATTCATTTTTTTGATACTTGTTATTATTATCGATGAAAACATAGAAATATGGATTGACGATGAATACGGAAATATTGTACTAAACAAAGCATCTAACATTGAATGATTTTTTTTCTATTTAATGTAACAGCCAGTATTAAAATACCAGTAGCCTAATGATTAAGGACCCTGCTGTGTGTGTAATGGTCTAATATCACCTGCTTTTCATTTTTTAACATTTTTTAGCAACAAATATTTACCTTCTTAGCAGCAGTCTCTGCGTCGACTTTAGGCGGTTGCGTTACTTTTACTTGTTTGAGACAAAGCATTAATTTCTTATAAGTTTCAGGATCCATCTAAAAAAATTAGAACAAAACCCATTAATACAGATACGTATATTTTTGGACTAAGAATAAGTAAAATTTCTAATAAACATATTCTAGACAATTAAACGTATATCTTTAGTATTTTTAGTGTTAATATCAAATCTTACCTCACACCTAGTCTTCACTGCACCACCAACAATAGTCAAATTTAAATTCTTTTTTACAGTTGTTAATATAAAGTCTTGAAGAATTTTCTTCGTCTCATCGTTCAATTTTCCATTTCTGCTTCTTTTTAAGCAACGCAGAACTGTATCAGCTACCGCTTTACCTGGATCCGTTTGAGCTTGTTTTTCCAACACAGTATACATGTTATCAAAAATATTGTCAAGAAATTTCTGTTTAATACTCATGCACACGCAATCCATCGAATGATTAAGATCGCAATGTCCATCAGCATATAAACAATCGCGTTCTTCTAGACATCGTGGACAATCAGTGCAAAATTTTCTGACATCTGCAGTATCGGTACATTCATGACATCTTATGCATTTCACTTTAAATTCTGCTATTTCTTTATCAATATTCTTGATTTCTTCATTAATAAAAATGTGTTTATTCTGACACTTTTCCCTACATACGTCGCATGTTTGCTTTAACATATCAAGTTCCAACAATATTGCTTCACGCTAAAACAATATGAAATTTAAAACATGCTTGATATTGAAATTGCAACAAATATGTATAATATTGTTATGTATTTATATTACTAATAGGTGGGTACCTGTGTAGGTTACAAGGTCAAAGACATTTATAATAAACTCGTCTCCTGTCTCGCATATTTAATGTTATCCCATCCTCGTCGCCAATATTAAATATGCGAGACAAGAGACTAGTGAAAGAAGTGGAGGTTGAATACGCACTGACTTTATTATAAATGTTTTTGACCTTATAACTTACACAGGTACCCACCTATTAGTAATATAAATACATAACAAATATTATTAAAAAAAACACACACCTCTGCTTTTTTATCTTCATTTTCAAGTTTTTTCTGTAATAAGACCCTACATATCGTCTGTAGATCTTCTCTAGCTTCCTTTATATATTTGTTACCTTCCTGTTCTTTTTCATATTTATGTTTCTGCTCATCGCTTAATTTTTTCTGGAGTTCAGTAATATTTGCAGTTATTGTAGCAATTTTTAGCTAAAATTTGATAATCTACATTAAATACTGATTATAATTTCATGCATAATCATTTTCTATAATAGAAAGAACTAATTTTCTGAAATGAAAAATTGAAAAATTTCAACACTTATTTATATTACATAAATTATTTATACACATAAGTATCTTACATCAGAAGCCTGTTTTTTATTTGTTAAAGACTTTTTAGCAGTTTCTATTTCTTTCTTATTATTTTCTATTCGTTTATTAAATTCTGTTATTTCCATATCTATAAACTTAAGATCGTTACTTTTCTGGTTTATCTTTTCTGTGATCTCTTGCTGACATTTGTTTATATTACTTATTTGAAACTCTAAATCTTTCTTATTCTTGCGCCATTTAGTTGTGCTTGCTTCCACTTCTTTCAGCTAAAATATATTTTCTATTAACTATTCAATCACACATATTTTTTTGTGTATTACACATATATTTTATCTGAAATAGTAAATCTAACCTAATACCTATTACATATAGGAAAGATTTGATTTAACAAATACTATACTTAACAAATTTTTAATTCTAAGAAAAGTTACTTCGTCAACGAGTAATCTGAGCTGTGTTTTATTTAAATGAAATAAAATGTCTATTCGCGCGAAGTCAGAATGGATCATTTATCAATAAATAACACTATATAGCAGACCATAAATTAAAAAAAACATTTGTTTTTAAAAAACTATTCCATATATACATGATAGGTACATAGACTGGTTTAATTTTTAAATTCTAAATTCTAACCTGTTTTAAAAGAACCTTCTGCCTTTCTAAAGACTCCGTTATTTTCTTCTTATACACATTTTCCATGCACGACCACATGCAATCGGCTTGCTTAATCAATTGTATACCTTCATTTTCTCTATGTTCTAAATTCTGTATCTGATCCTGTAACTGCTTTCCCGTTTCCATTAGCTTGTTCAGTCGGACATTGCATTTCTTGTCGAATGATGCAGCCTTTTTGTAGAAAAAGATATTAGAATCTAAATTAATTAAATCTAAATTACATACGCTTTAAAATTACTACACTGCAATCAACTTTTCTAATACTTACCTCTTTCAAGTTGCATAGAACCTTACTGAGTGGTAGTACATTACTACCAACGCTTGAAGAAACTAATTTGGATGTACAGCATTTGGGTTTAGATTCCGGTTCGGGACTACGGCAGCGTAAACTGAAAATATAAATTAGAACGATAATAATTTTTTTTGGGAAAAAAGTCACGTATTTTTACGCCAAATCTAAGATCGGCAAAAAGAGTCAAATGTCAAAGGTATACTTCCATAAATCTCTTGCTACATCCAATTTCATAAATCATCTAATGCAGGCATGCTACTTCCACTTACAGACACTTGACGTATTTTCTATCTGATCATGATTTATCGTTATGATATTTTTCTATAAACCACTATGATTCTAAATAAGCATTAAGACATGTCTGATAGCAAACAATAGACACTTGTTGTTCAAACGTGACAAATTTACATTGTCAAACCTAAAATAATTTGAATACTTTTTGAAGAACTAATATTGTAAGACTAGAAAAATCTCAATGAAACTGGATATTCGTGGGAGGAAACTATCCTATTTATAGCGTCCTAGTTATAAAAAAGAAAATGGAAAATTATATTACTTTTTTATTTTATTGAAGGCGCATCTTTTCTTGTCATCATCATCGTCACTGCTTCCCGGCCCTGCCATGTAGCATGTGGCGTTCCAATGTCCATAGAGATTGTTACTTTTAGCATTTAATCCCATACGTTGTTGAACTGCTTGCTAAATAATAAACAAATATACCTTGAGAATTCTTTGTTGAATCAAAAATGAAGGCTACATTTAGTACGTATGTCTATCTATCTATTATTTGCATCCAACTCTTTTAGAAATTAATAAGTATAGATATTCAAAACTTGGCATTGTTAAATTTGCGGTTGTTGGTATTTCGAGCTAACCAGCCCATTGCCACTTCAACTTGTTTATCTTTTGGGCTATGTCATAACGTATATATGTGGCCTATGGTGATAAAGCCCTTTTGAAGACAAGCGAGTGGGATAGCTGGAAGTTGTCAAGTTTGCGCGGAAGACGATTGTTCAGAACTCAAAAACATTACGTTATATATACATAAATAAAATTATGAATGACGAAGGAAACAAATCATTAATTTTTTAAATATTCTGATAACTTGCTCTAGATAACAGAGCTCTGGAAAAATTTGATAATGCAATGCACAAACTATAACACCCAAATACGGAACAATTTAGAAGCTGGCCGAACTATTCGAGCACAGCCAAACCTCAATGCTATGTCCGAATCACATCTATAGAGATATGATACAACATTAAAGTAAATATTAAATTTTAATAACCGTTAAGTCACAGTTAGGATCTTCCTTGAGAATGTTCCAGAAATCGCACATCAATTTAATGCCAACATCAGTGGTCGACTCACATGGACAATCGGCATTGGAGCTTCGATTAGACATTGTCGAAGTCAAATCCTTGATCAGTTCATCGAGAGCTAGATAGCGGCGATTCAAGCATTCTGGTATTTCAGGCATGCTAGAACTTTTTGTCTGTAGTAGGTAAAAAAAATTATCTTCCCATTAGGTTTAGTATCTATTATAGTTGTTTACACTATACTAATAATATATTATTATAGTTTGGGGAATTAAACGTTAAAGTGAGTCTTTACATGAAACCACAGTCGTTATCTCTAACCCTAGAGACACAATGCTGCAATTCAAAGTCTCGAAATTTAAGGACTGCTATGGGCGTCACAGTATATTGCTGATGTACCTATATGATGATGTTCATATGTATAGGGACGACAATTATCAGCTTCCATTAGTAAAATTTCCAATTGTTTCTCATTCATATTACCAGGTAATTGAAAACACACCTAGGTCCGTACACGAATACGTTACATGTGTGTCCTATTGGGTTAGACAGAAATAACTTTGATAAAATAAATAAACAATAGTTCTTACCTAATCACAAATTACACAAAATAAAGTTATACGAATTTAATAAAGTCCTTGTCATGGTCTGTGATTACAGCATACAATTTTAATGTAAATAATTGCTATAATTTTGACATGCTAAAACAAAAAGAACTACACGTAAAAGTGGCATGCAATTTGTCTCATATTTTATTGTCTTTTTTTTTATTGAAGATTCTGAATAACCAGTACTGCAGGTATTATTCTTAATCTATCCCAGTGTTATCAATGAATGCATTCTACTTTAAACGCGTATTTTGCTCTTCTAAGACAAAATACAACATCTCCAGAGTAAAAAATTCTCCGACAAGCCTATCTTTATCTAATTTAAACAGTAACATACTAATAGTACGTACTTATGACATTACTCATAAATAAACGGTAGTAAATAGAGTTGAAACTGGAGCAATGGGGTACGTCCCGAGATCTACCTAACCCGCCTTCACCAACTGGCGGGTCCAGAGAAAACCTTGATTGATTGACAACGCCAACGGAAAAGGAGGGGATGGTGGCCTATTCTATGCCTAAACCACAAGGATCATACATAAAACTTGTTAAATGATCTATCCATAGTTTCAACCTCGAAATACTCATATTGTCTATTATCCTACTGATAGTATAAACAGGTAGACGCATTTTCAAGATGATTATCGATACTGCGATTAATATTTTATTACTATTAAAGTAACCCATAACATTAATACATAATAATAGTCAAATAGAGGTAAATATTTCTAAAAGTTAACAACACTGGTTGACTGACGTACCTAAATTATCAAAGGCAGCATGGTCTCCGACCTTAGCCTGTTCCACAACGGAACAAACGTACTTAAAAAAAAATTATCAATTCATGAATGACGTCCGTGACTGACAACATTGATAATATTTACAAAATAAATTCCATTGAGTCTTATAGGTATAGTTCATTCAAATTTACTTAGTCTTATACCGATTTTATTATTAACCGTCTTCTTAAATTTACTGAATATTATCTGTAACTATCACATAGTGGTAGTTACGTCAATAATTTCATCTCTTATTCGTTTATGGTTGATAAAACATTTATAATTTACTTACTGATAACGAAATTTGCGTTTCATCTTTTGCTAAATTCATAAAACTATGACGGAATTCGGTGCAGTAAGTTTCTTCTATATATTAATCTACAACTAATTCCTGTTTTTTTTTTTTTTTATAAATTTTATTGTACTTATTTTCTTTGCAGGAACATCCAAGGAATTTGATTCCAGAACTATGCAAACAGTTTTATCATTTGGGATGGGTTACTGGAACCGGTGGCGGTATTTCAATTAAGGAAGGGTAAGTATGCATTAATTGCGTATAAATAACTAATAAAAAATAGATATTTACTAATCTCCTTAATGTTATATTACTTAATTTTTAATCTTATGAATATAAAAAATTTAACCGCATCAATTGATGTGTGTAGTTTTATATAATAATTTTTAGGATTTGTATTTGTTTCGGCATCATACAAAATTTTGTTGTTTTATATACAAACCCTTTTATATAGATACTTTTTTCATTTGGCTTCTTAAGGTTGACTAAAAGAAATCCCTTTAAAATACAAGTCTGCCTGTGTACATTTTTGTTATAACCGAATATCTATAAATAAATGTACAAAAGCATATAAATTAATAAATAAAATTACTAAATTGAATATAGTTTAATCTTCATATGTCAGGGGTAGGAATTGTTAGTAATATAGACTTCCAGTCCCGTTGCTAGCAATATACCCTGTCAGGTTGATCTCTGAGTGTTTCTGCTTGGAAACCATTGCCATGGACATAACAGTGTATACTGTTTTTGTCCATGATAACCCCCATACTTTGCCATTCCTGAGAACTCAGGTGTTATTCCTCTGTACCCTGTAAATTCATGCCATATCCCGTCCTTCAAACAGAAACACAGCCATACAAACACAACTGCTTCACGGTAGAAACACAAAGACTTTTGTACAAAGTCTCCCTCTGGTAAATTGTTATTTTATATAAGCAACACAAAAACCTTTTTAATTGTTTGTGTTTATCATGTACTGTTATTTTATTCCAAAATATAATAGCTACATGCATATTATATTATATCTTAATTATATTATAATGTGTTAAGATATATTCTTTCATCTTTTAATATCTAAATCAAAAAAACATCAAAGCTATGCACCAATCACTAAATAATAAAATAAAATAATCATAATTTCATTGTTTTATGTTTCAGTGACAAAATCTACATAGCGCCATCTGGAGTACAAAAGGAGTGTATGAAATATGATGACTTGTTTGTTCAGACTATCGACGATGTTGATTTGGAGCTGCCACCAGCTGAGAAAAAGTATGATATTTATATGAATATCTTTCTAAAATCATCATCATTGTGTCAGCCTTTAACTTTCTACTGCTGAACATAAGTCTCTCCCATGGGATGGGTTTTGCGTGTAGCAACTGCAGGAGATGTTTTAAGAGGGATGCTGCTGCCCATCCCCTCTCTTAGTCAACTCTTACGGCACCCAGGCGAAAGCAAGAGGTAGTCTATTTTTTGCTGGGACCACACAGTGAAATTAAAAAATACTATAGTTTATTCTAATCATAATAATGTGTCATTTATTATAGTACTAAATTGATAATTTGTAAATTATTTAAAAACAGTAAATATCATACTTCTTACGAATTCTTTATGGTAGATAACAACAACATTCCAAACTGAGTGGTAGAATTAGAAATAAATGATTATTAATTTAAAACAGTTTGCCAACTGTTTTAACCTTACTATGCATACACTTGTTGCTAATGTTCTTAACACATTGACTGCCTTGTCAGTCACGGTTGACTGACACTGGAATACTCCAATGGGGCTACGCGACGCGTAATTTTTTTTCATTGGCGCTTTGTCAGTCACATGTGACATAAAAATCCTCATAATTTCCCACAAAAATGCATCAAAGTAAACTAAATAATCATATCTCTTCATAATTTATTAAATATAAGTTAAAAACAAAGAATTTACCAGAGGGAGACTTTGTACAAAAGTCGATTGCTTGGGTACCTCTGTCTCATTCATGTTTCAACCGTAAAGCATGTTTGCATGGTTGTGCTTCGGTTTGAAGGGTGGGATATGGCGTGAATTTACTGGGTACAGAGGAATAACACCTGAGTCCTCAGGAATGGCAACGCATGGGGGGTACAGTATACTCTGTGTCCATGGTACTGCTCATGTCTATAAGCGACAGTTACCACTTTCCATCAGGTGGGCCATCATCTTGTTTGCCATTCTAAGTTGTATAAAAAAAATTATGAAAAAACTTGTTGGCGGAGAATGTGTTAATTTCAACCTGTATATTGCTAGAATATTTATCAATAACCAAATCTTTTCAATTTTCAGACTGAAAAAGAGTCAATGCACACCACTGTTTATGCTGGCGTACCGAGAGCGCGGCGCCGGCGCAGTCATACACACACACTCACCCCATGCAGTCCGTTGCACGCTACTGTACGACAAAGAGTTCACCATCACACATCAGGAGATGATTAAAGTAATTCTAAAGTTCATAGTTTTATCTGTTTATACTATATTCTATATTATAGATGTTAACTATTCAATACTAAACATAGGCCTGTCCCTGTTGGTGGTTTTGATACTAGTTACCATGCTTGGCAAGCATGCCCACCTCAATTAGGCTTTAGTGATGTTTTAAGAGAAAAGTGTAACCCATCCCTCGACCATTCCCTAAGTAATGATAAGTTTCCTTAGTCACCTCTTACAACACCTATGGGAAAGGGAGGAGTGACCCATTTTACCAGTATAGAATGGATCACATGGCTATTGAAGTTCATAGATGTTAATAAACTATCGTTTCCTGTTTGCGCAGATGGGGTTACCATTTCATTATCATCTATTAAAAAAAAAAAGACAAATTTATTGTATAAATTATTCAATTTTCAAATCAAACTTGTATTTAATTAATGCTCTTTTGATACTCATTGCTTTATCAGAGAGTAAATAAAAGAATCTAAAATACAAGTTTAGTACTAACACAGTGTAGGATAACCCCCTACTAGATGGAATGACGACCTCAAATGCATTGCAGTCAGTCAATGGATGCGGGCGGCTCAGGTCCGTTCCTTATGGCTGTCTAATGAGGAAGTCCTATGGCAAGTACTCTCTATCTATCTTCACACCAAAACCTCTATAAAGTAGGCAATATTATGTATATAATGTACAAAAACAACTAGAAAATATATTAAAACTTTTCAGGGTATCAAAGACGCGAAGTTGGGTCGTTATCTACGGTACGATGAGAAACTCGTGGTTCCTATAATAGAAAATACTCCGTTTGAGAAGGACCTCGCTGGTAGCTTGGCTGAGGCACTGCACAAGTATCCTGGAACGAGTGCTGTCCTGGTCAGAAGACACGGAGTTTATGTATGGGGAGACACATGGCAGCAAGCTAAGACTATGTAAGTGTATTGTTATTATTTATTGTACTATATTTACACTCTGTCAAGTACAGTAAAAAGCGAATGATGGCAACACTGGATGTACCCCAGGATTGGGCCTCTACATAACTTTAAAAAACAAAAGTTTTGCTGTAATGTGTCAAAGCACGAATTTAAAAAAAATCAAGTGGATCAATGCAATGGTTCTTTCAATATTTTTGTAACATTTCGCAAATAAAATTGAAAATTCAAGCTTTTTTATATCAAATTGACCTTCTAACAATCTGTTGAAGACTTCAGGACGTACCACTCTCTTATTCATAATAATTAAAAACGATCCATTAGTGTTTTGTCACTTTCATTCATTTGAAAAATCAGTGCAAAAAAAAAAGACAAAAAATAGACAAATAGCTAAAATATGTTAATTAGATGTATAACATTCTTATTAATAAGAAGGTTAGTTAAAGATTATCAGCCTGAAAATTGCTTTTATGCACTTACAGTGAATGCAGGTTGCATCTATAAGCAAAATTCTTTATATTTTATTTATTCTACTTAGCTTGGTAAAAGAAACTAAAAATATTTTCTAGAAAGTACTTACTTACCTTATTTACCTTATTTTTATACTCCTTTTTTTTCCTGTAACTTGCTTTTCCCAATAAGAAACTTTTTTGATGAATTGTTTATATATTATATTTCCGGTTCAAATGGTCACATACTGTGTTTAATTAACTAGATTTTCCCTAGAGACTATAGTCTAAACCCCCCACTATAGTGGGGGGTTCTTCAAAACGAGTGTGTTCTAAGGTTTTGTTCAGGGTCGGAAACGCGCATATGACCGCCCAGTGTTGCAGGCGTCCATTGGTTACAGTGACCGTTTACCATCAGACGGGCCGTATGATTCTTTACCACTTTCGTGCTATCAAAATAAATATCTATCTATATAAGCACTGTACCATTATTTTTATCAAAAATTATGAGTGTTGCAAATAAAGCATATTATCTATTAAGCGGTAACGAAATTACCGCATACATAACACAAAACAAAACGCCGGACGTGGTGGTCTAGATCTCATGCATGATCGTTAAATTGCACCATCTGAGTATGGCACTTTATAATTATCGTTTCGCCATATATTCTTAAGTGGTCTAATTTCGAACAAAAAAGAGATTACACCGTACCAGTAATATAACAGTGGATTTATTTCCTTTAGTCAAATCAATTATCATGAAATTTGGCAAATGATTTCTGGCAAAGAGAAGTGCATGGATTATTTTGTCGTAGACCAAGTTTTGGGCGCAACTAGCTTGTAATATTCCTCGGTGTTGTTTAAAACATGTTAGCTAACTAATTAACGAGGTCTTCTAAACCATCTTGGAAGAATTAGGTGGGGACCTGAGATCCCCTTTGCCCCAACATCAGAGCTGAAACGTACTTGTAGGTGTGGTCTTCTTAGTGATCTAAAACGTTAACGACTTTATCACTAGAGGGTGCCACCAAATGCACGAGTGCATGTAGATATAATACTACTAGCTTTTGCCCACGACTTCGTCTGCGTGACCGGAATATGTTTACTGAGCGGAATACACACTGAATATATTTACGTTTCCAATTCATACTTGTATAAAACGTGTATACTAGAGGGAGACTTTGTACAAAAGTCGTTTGCTTGGGCACCTCTGTCCCATTCTTGTTTCTACCGTGAAGCAGTTGTGTTCGCATGGCTGTGTTGCGAAATAAATGGCATAAATGGATATGGCAGTGAATTTACAGGGTACAAAGAAATAACACCTGAGTCTTCAGGAATGGTAACGCATGGGGGGGGGGGGGGTATCTCGTGGGCTAAACAGTATACTCTGTTATGTGCATGGTATTGCTCACGTCTATAGGCGACGCTTACCACTTTCCATCAGGTGGACCGTCAGCTTGTTTGCCATTCTAAATTGCATAAATAAAAACAAATTTCATAGTGATTGATTAAGCTGTTAAGGCTCTATAAGGCAACAAACAAACAAACAAAAAACATACCCACTTTCACATTTATAATATTACAATTTATCAATTACAGGACCGAATGCTATGATTACCTATTTGAAATGGCGGTAGAGATGAAGAGGCTCGGATTAGATCCTTCTTTTAATCCAGAAATCGAAAATGGAAAACAATAACCCAAGTGTTTATAAAAAAAAAAAGATTTGGACATAGACTATTGACCTGATTAATGACCACTTGTGAAATGTAATTATCTCAGATAAATGAATTCTCAAGAGTTTGTACAGTAATTTTATTTGAGTGTTAACAACGTTTTGAATTTTATATAAAAGTACAAACTGACTCGGTAAACGTTGTTTTTAGAATACATTATTTCTAGAACTAAACATGAAAATATATATATATATATATATATATATATATATATATATATATATATATATATATACCTACAATATGCACACAAAAAATAAAAATCGGTAAAGCCGTTATGCACACAAGTTTGATAACAAAACACCCTGACACAAGAATTTTATATATTAGATTTGGAATTTTGAGTTTCTGAAATGAGAAGCGCAGCTAAACGTAAACACAAGTTCTGCAATAATGTAAATCTTTCTACGTCTTACACCAGTAATATGTTTTTGAAATTATTGACTATATGAAGCGTTTTGCTATTTTTTCTTATATATAAACTGCGATACTGTATATAATTTATATTATTCCTGTGCCAATTATGTTATTAACACTAAAAAATTGTAATGTTTCAAAATAACTATGTCAAATAACTCCAGAGTTAACTTTGTTATCTTTATATTTAATAAGAATTGTTATGTATATATATATTTTTCTAAATAAAACAAATTTAAACAGAGAGAACGCAGTTTTATTTTACAATCATACATTCCCTTCTCTCATCAACTCTGCTACGAGGCTTTGAGATAGGACGCCTCTCTCCTTGCCAAATTCCGAATCCAACTCGCGTTTAACTCTTCTTCGACTAATACCTTGCACGCTTGACGCACATTTATTTAAAATCAAATCTTTTATCTCTTCCAATTCAGCTTTCGATAGAAGATTACTATTAGAATTTAGCGGAGCGACTTCTTTCTTCGCCATCTCGTACAGAGACATCAAATCCAACGTGTTCTTGTTCTTTTTTGCTACAGCATGATTGTGTTTCAAAATTTTTTTCAGATCGTCCAAGTAAGATCTGTTCTCGGATATCTTACCATCAATCATTTCTATCTCTTTTTCTTTCGACTTTTTTAAATCCTCGTCTCCTATTTCAAATGTTTGTTTTATTTTTGAAGGTACCACGGAGGGGGTTACGCTTTCTGTAATAATAATTTTAAGGCAATTTCATAGTTGAGGGATAAGCAGCAATGCCCATCTTAAGACATCAACATAGCCTAACTGCGATTGCCAATCCGCCTGTCAAGCGTGGCAACTATTGACAAACCTCCAAGAAGGAGACTTATGCTTAGCAGTGAACAGTTAAAGGCTGGTATGATGATTATGATAGGTACATATACAAGGTGGAAAAGAAATTATTAACGACCTGTTCAACCGACTTAAAAAAGTGACAACTGTTCAATTCGGTTATATTTTTTTTTTTTGCATTTTAAATAAAATAGGTATTAAAATATAAGATCACTTAAGTTACATTTAATAATTTTAACTACTATTGGACTAATAAGTAACAAATCCTTTTTTGTTTTAATGGGTATAAATGGAATGGTAACCCCGCCCGCGCGTATACACCGACGAGGCATCAGTGGAAGATGATATGTGAGAATGAATGCAAGTCAGTTGGCCCACCTTGATAAATTTTGACAAGAATTAAACAGGGCCTGTGAGGCCCATATTGATAGCAATGGATGGAGTAACATATTGATGCTGTTGTGACTGATAAAAAGAAGTAGATACTGATAAGAATGTTTTCGTTCAATTTTAATGAATTATAACAGGGGTCATAATTTTTAAATCACCTTTGTTCTCATTATCGAGTTTGTAAAGAGTTAAATTCGACTAAATAGATAAATTAACTCACCATATACTCTCTACATTACATGATGTGGATGGGGGGAAAGGAATTGTTAGTAATGGGGTCTAACTGATCTATTGATGGGGGGGAAAGGAATTGTTAGTAATGTAGACTGAGAATCCCATTGTTAGCAATATGCCTAACAAGGTCAACCTCCTCGCGGTTCCCCCTGGAAACTATCATGGGTAATTCCTGATGAATTCATCATGATGGGCTAACTGGCCTGTTTTCATTCTCATCTATCACCTTCACTGGTGCTCCGCCAGCGTATCCCGTTAGCGCAAGCGGGGTTACCATACCATTTTCACATATAAAAAAAAACTGATCTATTGCTAGCAACACACCCTAACTATAGTTATGAATGATGCGTTTATAATTTTTATTTTTATTTTGTCGTAAACACGTAAACACTCATTTATTAAATAATACATCAAGATACATTTTTTGCGGAAGTACGTGAAATAATGATTAAAAAACGAGTCGGCTAATTTGACAATTAGCTGACAAAAACTTGACCCGTTTTTGAGGTTCGATGCTCATGTTCTAACTATATAATCTAAGATCTGTAATACAAAAAAAAATATATGGTATATATAACGACAGTAGTAACTACCAAATCCTACAGAAAAGTAATGCAAAGTGACTGAAGTTGTTTAAATGATCATTTATTGGTTCCACGACCCTATTTTCTTTAAATCTTTGGAATCTTTCTTTAAATTTATTTACTAAAACAAAAATTACCTTTAAAAGTTTTGCCTTTTTCTTCTTCTTTGCAGGCGGGTTTTATAGAGAAAAACGCTCTCATAGTCTGTTGCGGCTTCGACATATTGTCCCCTACGTAAACGTCGTATTCCACACATACTACTTTCTCATCAAGTTTCCTCAATTCAACGTTATTTTTCTTTAACTTTGAAAACTTTTCCGCAATTATCTTTACTCGTGGAGTTTCAGAAATGTGAATGCCTCGTAATGATTGACGTGACTCTACTTTTTCTGAAATTTTAAATGTCATATTTTTCTATGCATCTTAAAATGGTAAACAAACTAACGGCCTACCTAATGGAAAGTAATATCTGTGGCCTATACTATATAGGACTGGCAGTCCGACTGGCGGACCGGCATACAATCCCTTCCCTCCGGATGAGATAGGTTACCCATGCTGACGACTGATTATTTAAAAACTTGTATACAATACCTATATTATATCCGATATATTTGTCTTTTTCATCAGAATTATCTATATTCTGCCACTGCGAGCCATCTACCGTCTCAACATGAGCAGGAACCATTACATTTTTCCTCTTGAGTCTCACACTGGGAACTGTTCTCAACCTTAGCGCTGCTACTCCATAAGATTTTTCTCAATTGCCTCCACTGCTCGACGCTATATTTTTTGTCTGGATTTAAACCATACTGCTCCAATAGAAGATGCTGGTACTGGAGAATTGTTTTTTTTTTTAAATCATCATCTTATTATGGTATAAAGTAGTTATTATGTGTTTACTTAGCTACCTTATTTTAATTGCTAGAAACATTTATACTGTCAAAAGTTATTAGTTGTAAACCTGTTACCGTCTCGGCCACGTGTGAACAAAAAACAGTAAACCAAACGCTACTAAATGGAATAACATTCTCAAAGGTATTGCAGAAGGTTAGGGAATGCAGGAAACGTGGGATATTATAATATGTTGTCTACGAGAAAGCCTACTTTTTGTAGCAGATAGTTAACGGCCAAAATGTAGTCAATTAGCCGCCTACAAAAACTTACCTATTCGAAGAGGGGTGTCAAATCAACAAAAAGAGGCGTTCTATCAACCTAGAATATTACTTTATGTATGCTTGCTTATATTATTGTAATAAACTTAATGTGAGATTTAAAATAACATGTTATACTAATCAAAATATCAAATCTATAAGTCTAACCTTATCATTATTTTGATCAGTTTCAGTCAATTGGCCAAAATCTTTGTAATCAGGATTGAAGTAGCAACACCTGTTTGTCGTAGGCTTCTCAATTTTACAGAGGTTCCGTCTTGTTTTAGGAGGTAACAACTCTTTTAACTTAGTACCATCTTTAGACGTATAAGGCTTCACTTTTCCATCACTGTCGTTGCGTTTCGGAAGAACCCTACCGAGCCTGCGTTGATTTCTGCTCATTTTCAAAACAAATCATATTTTCACAAGAATTTTTGCTTACATTCCAAAAACCCTTAAACCCAATCCTTTGCGTGACGATGTGTGTTTAATATTAAGACATTTTTAATACTGACATAGACTTGACAGTGGTAATTTTTTTTTATTCATCCTTCTGCAAGATCATCCTATCCAAACAGATCGAATTCTTGTTAGAAATAGGTTTATTTCCATACAGCTGTAAACTACTGGCCGGTTGTAATTTAAAAACATATGATTTTTAAACTAAATTGACACATCCTTAAAAACAATCGTTGCTTTCTATATTTGCTTTTGTATTAAATTTTATCGTACTTTTTATATTATGTTTGCCCTATTGCCGTCTACTACGGAACTATTAGCTGATAAGCTAAATACCAACAGGATATGGGCCAAAAAGGTAAAATAAGATTGAAAGTAATAATGGTGGTTCGATTGCAAACTCAATCATGAATAACAAATCGTTATCATCAAACGATAACGAGAGTGGTAGTCTGCCGTCTATCAAAAAACTCGATGGGAACAGCAATTACAACGGTTGGAAATTTGCTATGGAGCTATACCTTCCCCATGACGATTTATGGATATACACGCAGATATCAACAGAGAATGATGACATAATAGTAGTGAAAAGAGATCAGAAAGCTCGCGCTAGGGTTGTCTAATGATAAGATCACATTGTTTAGTATATGTTAGAGAATGCGAAATAACTAGAAGCGCTAAAAACTGCTTTTGAGGATAAATAATCGACGTCGCGTTTTATTAAAATTAGTAAGTTCGAAGTTAGAGTAATTTACGTCAGTGAGAGACTACGTAGCGAATATTATGACGATATCACAGCAACTACGCGACATTGGAAAGCAGATTGATGATGAGCTCCTTGCTGCTCTTATGCCTCAGTGTCTTTCTGAAAATTTTCAACCAATGAGATTAACGCTCGAAAATACTCATACAGTATTAACAACAGATTTGGTTAGGATGAAGTTTTTCCAAATAGTAGTCAGGGAGCTCGATTAATGCCCCAAATAACTCTGCACTATTAATTAGCAAAAAGTGTAAAGAGAAGGTTCACAAGAAAGAATCTAAGCTCAAATGTTTTATCTGCAGTGGGCCTCATTAAGCTTTTGAATATCCGAAAAACCCAAAACAAAAGAAGGATGCTATGCAGACTTTTGTTCTTGCTGTCAGTGCAAGTTCTTAGGATGAAGAATGGATCTTTCTCTAGAGTATCTACACATATGACAAATAAAAAAGATTGGTTTAAAAATTTTAATGTTTCGGTAAGTGTGAGAGGGTGGAAGTTAACTGTACAAATGATGATAAGATGTACAGCGAAGGAAAAGGTACTGTATTGAGTCAAATATGTGTAAACGTGAGCGATATCTCGTTTGTACCTAAATTGAGTACTAACATACTAAATGTCAGTAACATAGTGAGTAAAGGTAATAGTTGTATTTTCGAATAAAGAATGTGAGATTTTCCTGGCTGACGAATGCAAGATGAAAGGTAGAGCAGTCGCTAAAGACATTAGAGAGAGGTGTCTATAAACTTAAACCTTCTTTACAGAACACAGCATTAAACACAGCTACATTTAATTAGATGGAGATGTGGCATAGGAAAATGAGTCATCTTAGAGTAAGAAATCTCAAACTGCTTAAAGATAAAATGGTCAGACGAGTAAGTTTTCCTAAATCTTCAAAACATCAATGTGTATAATACAGGAAATATTATAGGAAAACAAACAAAAATACCATTAAAAAAACTAAAGGCTACTAGAGCTACAGAGATACTAGGGTTGGTACACTCTGTTTGTGGACCAATGAGTGAGAGCTTTTATTATTCACTGCGCAGCATCAACCAGGCTCACAGATGCGCTTTCATCAAGGAAAGAGAAGATAGTGACGGCACATTTTGTTCCCGATACAACAACTGGCACAACTTTCAGTAGTGCATGCAAACTTCGACTGTCGCTACTACTACTTACTACGACTTATCAGTCGTGATATCAGAGTGATATCTCATTCTATTATCGGTCTCGTCGTGTGGGACAGCATGAAGCAAGGTGTAATGAGCATGGGGACAGTCAGGAATAGAACATTTAATTTTTCTCTAACAGGTTTCTTCTTTCAGTTTGTGTCGTACATATAGACAAGAGAAACAATTTTTTGTCAGTTATTAACTTCCAAAGATCGTCTATCGTCATCTGTTTGAAATCACCGCAGTCATTCATTTGATAATTATCATTGCAAAGTACACATGTAGGTAGTGATGATGAAACTGTAGCCACCATCTACCTCAATGGTCTTTGGTCAGGCTTGGTTGGTGGCTTCACAATAAGATTATTTACAGTCTTTTCAGACAGCGAAAGCAATATAAGTGGCGGCGCTGACTACGGTCATAAGCCACTTAGTTACATGATATAAGGTTACTATATTTACATTTTTATTTGACATATATATTGTTATTTCAATAATGACGGGAGTTTTGTTATTATTTCCCGAATCAAAGTAGGAATAGTCAGATGTCCAACCTCTTCTATCATTTTCATTGTAGCTACAACATTCTGAATTGCAGTCGCATATACTACAAGTATTAAATGATTGACATCGTCATGAAGGACGTCACGCATAAACCTTATTTTGTCCAATATGACTTCTATGATTAGTTCAAGTCCACTATATCGCAATTTCCATATGTCTATTATTAATTTCAGATTTGTAGCACTCACCAATAGCGCAGATACGGTATCACGCGCACAGCCCTTCAGGCAGCGCGCTAGTCATGCGATGTTTTCGTTGTCGCTGTAACTACACAGCCGTGTTGTCGATATGTATTGACTATACAACAACGGCTACTCTACAGACTCACTACTGTACATTAGCAGTTCTTTTGCGCTTGTTTGTCTGGCTAGGAATTTTGACATGTTCGTGTTGTAGTTCTCTAATCTGCATGTAGGAACATGTTACAGTACAGGCATCATTTCGGGCCGTGTCTGTGTATCAGTATTGATAGCTGTCGAGATAGTGTAAGGCATGCTAATATTATTTTGACACGCCAGACCTGATGTTATAGGTAGACGTAGATGTGAGAGTTGCAGCTGAATACCTATCTTGTTAGGAGTAGATGTACGTGGAAAGATAGACCAGCATAAAAGTAGTAGCACTTGTATTGAATACAATAGATTTAGTTCTTAGTCCAAGTAACTTGACAGTTTATTTATAATAAACACAACACACACTAAATACACGAAACACTATAACGCACTCTCGTCTTCATCTTCGAGTGCTTGTGCTGATAAAGCAAGTTTCTCTTTAATGAGTCTGGTTTGTACTAATGGGCGCTCTTCCGCGGCTTGCAATTGTAGTTGTAGGAGTCGTTTTCTTACTACAGTCAATGTGGACGTTCTAGAGTACGAACGGATGACACGGTGACAGCCTTCAGCTGTCGGTGAAGGCGTACCACCAGGCCATTCGCTTGCGGATGCAAGCCATAAATAGATCGGACTCAAACTGGCGACCCTGGTCTGTAGTAATGGTTTTGGTTACACCTAATCGTGCGATCCTAGCAACTACAAAAGTTTCGGCAACAGTTTCGGCGGTCATTGATATCATCGGCCACAATTCCGGTCATCATGAAAATGTATCTATAGCTGTTAAGCAATAGATAGTTATTTTGAGATAGAAGTGAACCGATAATATCGATGTGGACATGGCGGAAACGGCCAGACGGACTGCCGAAATTACCTGTGACAGTGGTGACTGACCTTACTGCGCTGACAAGGAATGCAATTCCTAACCCATGCCTGACAGTCTTTTTTTATACCCGGCCGGACCCAATGATTAGTTACCAATTAAGAGAAACAGGTTGATAATTAAAATGCTGGATATAATGAAAATGGTTAGTCTTTTTTCCAGTCTTCGTCTTAGTCATTTTTTTCGTCAAAGGCCGTCAGTTCTATCTGTAGAACGTTTTGGCAACTAGCGAGAAAACCAGTCAGAGGCCGCAACACTTCTCTTCAGACTTTTTGAATAATAACCACTCGTGTACATTTCCACTGTAGGTGGCAAGGTCCTCTAATGAAAGTCAAGTATTTAGTTTTAGCACTGAAAAGCACTGGCTAGCAGCAAAGAGAGCATTGTGTTATTTAAAAGGAACAAAGAGCTATGGCATACAATATAACAAAGGAATGATATTGCTAATTCTTCAAGGGTATTCTGATGCTAATCACGCTGGAGATGAAGATCGCAAGTCGTACTCTGGGTTTGTCCACATGTGCCAAAGAGGAGCTATTTATTGGGTTACAAAGAAGCAATGCACAATCGCACTATCAATAGCCGAAGCATAATATGTCATTGTCAGAAGTTTCAAAAGAGGGGCAATATCTCTGCGCAGATTTCTCGCCGAAATTTTTGGTACCAGAGTGGAACCAGTCACTATTTTCAGGGATAGTCAATCGGCCATTACTATCGCAGAGAACCCCGTTCATCATCAATGTACAAAGCGTATATAGACGTTAGATACCTCTTTGTTAGAGAAGCTGTAAAACTTGGTGAGGTGACTTTAAAGTATATAAACACCTCCCTTATGCTAGCGGATGCACTAACTAAATGTCTATTAAAAGGAAAGTTATTGATATTGGTAGATTTGAGGTTGTGCTTGTATGCATGGTATGTACGTATGTCTGTATGAGTGTTTATTGTATGAAATTAAGGTATAATAATAATAGTTTTAGAAATATATTTATTTTTATACAGCTGTAAACTACTGGCCGATTGTAATTTAAAAAGAGATGGGTCTTTAAATTAATACATCCTTAGAAACAATTGTTGCTTTCTGTATTTGCTCTTCTAATAAATTTGTACGTACTTTTTATATTGTGTTTATTCTATTCCCTTCCACTATAAAAATATTTGCTGATATCTCAAGCTGAATACCAACAAAAAGCTTTATCTACCAATACAAGTCGTTTATAATCATCTTCACCACAACCCGTTAGCAATTCATTCCTGTATATGAAATTTTTTTTATAAGAGCTAAAGAGCTAATCTACTAGTTTTACGTCCGCTACTTTGCATACGTGGATTTCAAAACTAGGGATGGACTTCAAAAAAGGTTATTTTTTATACTACAAAGATGGTAAGCATATAATACGTTTAATGGTATACAGTTAACGTAATTTATAAACACCTGCAACACCATAGATGTCATGCCTGAGTTGTCGACTCTATACTTTTTCTTTGTCTATCGACTAACATATAAAATTTAATTTTTTTTTATGCAACTTAGAATGGCAAACAGGCTGACGGCCCACCTGATGGAAAGTGGTAACCGTCGCCTATAAACATGAGCAGATGGACACAACAGAGTATACTGTTTCGCCCATGATACCCCCATGCGTTGCCAATCCTGAGGACTTGGGTGTTATTCCTATGTACGCTACAAATTCACTGGCATATCCCACTCTTCAAACCGAAACACAGCCATGCAAACACAGCTGCTTTACGGTTGAAACATGAATGAAATAGAGGTGCCCAGCAAACAACTTTTGTACAAAATCTCCCTCTGGTAAAAAAAAAACTATTATACAATATATTTCATCATATTTATTTATATATTCCAACATGCTGTGTGATAAAATAAATTTACTTAACGCGCGGATAGTAAACTATAGTGGAAATTGGACAGTGGTTACATTCTGATGCAGATGTAGTGATAGTTCTTATAGTGAGCAACACTTTATTGCTGTGAGGTAGACATGTCACCACTGCCATACTGTGAACTGGACTAAAGATTTTCTGAACAGCACGCCCGTCAACCAACAACTGCAAAAAAAGTATATTTTGATCCATTTAACAAAATTATTATAAGTAAATACTGACGATTGCAAAAAGTTTTATCAAAATTGACAAAGATGTCGCGTCAAATAATATAACATAAAAATAATATCCAAAGATTAGAAGTAGAGAAATAAAAGAGATTTGGTGAGAAAGGTATTACGTATTAATGAGAATGGTTATAAGTTCAGAGAAAGACCGAGAAAGAGATGGATAAATTTAAGATGGCATAGCCAGAAAGAGAGTGAAAGTTTTTCTATTCGTCTTTGTAAATATTCTATACAAAGATGAATAGAAAAAGAAAACATATTACGCCGATCTTAAATAGATATTAGAAAAGGGACAGAAAGAAAAAACTTTACAGCTCATCATAAAATAGTCTCAAGTGTACAACCTTAATTTTATACTACTCGTAAATACATATATATAATAATATAATATTGTAAGGGATACCTACACAGAAAGAATAAACGGTAGGTAAATCCTATTAATGTAATAGTTTGTAACGATGGATGGATCAATACAAAAAATATTGAAAGGATTTGAATGAAATTCAATACACGGATATGTTGTATCCTAATTTAGCACAAAACCTTTTTTACATATAGTTGCTTTATACACAGCTGGTTGTCTATATGAAAGAAGCAGTAAAATGTCTGTGGCGTGATAAGTGAGGTGGCTGCTTAAATTATAAATTGTAACGTAGTACGTTATACTAAGCCTATAAGTGGCCGAGTCAAAACCAGAAATGAACATGTCAACTTAAAATAAAGCGTCATTCAAGTGAGAAATAATATAAAAATTAACCTCGTATCCTTGTACATCCTTTATTACTTGAGGCACATTCCATTTCACTAGAACAGTGTGATCTGAAACTCTTCTGACTCGCAAGAAGCTCGCTTTTAAGGCATCGTAATTACTTCTAGATTCCTGAGTTTAATATTTATAATCATTACATTACTTTAATATTTTTTTTTGTACAACTTAAAAAGGTAAACAAGCTGACGGCCCACCCGATGGAAAGTGGTAACCGTCGCCTATAGACATGAGCAGTACCATGGACATAACAGAGTATACTGTTTCGCCCATGATACCCCCCATGGACCTATTTTGCCGAGCACATTATTTGGATTCAAAGTAACAGAGAACGAAACTAACGTCGTCAGTAAAGTATCGCTTGTTAACAGTATTTTTCGTCACCGGAGAATTAATGAGATTTTTATTTCAGAGTTTAATTACTAACAGTACCCCAAACCAATACCTAAACTAGCCTATGTCCTACTTTATGCTTCTTTATAATCTAATTCCTTACTGATAATTACTTTTTTACATTTTTTGTACTTCATTACCTTATACAATCGCGAACAATAACAAATGTACGTGTATATTTATACAACTTTATAAACTTACTTCAATAACATGATTACATTGGCGGGCAGTTGAACTTTTACCACTCTTCAATAAGAATTGTTGGTTCAATGATTTTTGTTTACATTCCCGTTTAATCTGCGGAAAAATAATTCTTAAATGTTCTTTAAATCATGAAAAAAAAATTATTACAAACTTGTGATTTAATATTTTAAATAATTGTGTATACGAATGGCACTATGAACGTAACAAAATACATTAGATTTCCCCCAATGTGTTGCCAACCTTCAAACATAATTAACAAGTAAGCTACACCTCCGTAGCCAGTACTTTCGCTGCTCACTCTTGAAATTAAAAACTATTCATAAGTAAAATTATGGACTGATAATCTTTGTGTTAAAACTAATATTAATAAAGAGTATATAGTGTAATAATTACTTATTGTAGTAGTAAAGTGGTGAGAGCTTATTTCTATTCTATTTCGATTTCTATTCAGCTGCGATAATATCGCAGCTGAATAGAAACCGAAATTCTTAATAAGAATCAATTTCGGATAAGTAATTAACTATGAATGGTCCATTGGCAAAGGATTGTAAATAATGTAATAGCAACGTTAGTTCCATTGTTATTTACCCTGTAAGATCGACCTTCATGCGATCCCCTTTGAAAACCATCAGATTTAATTCCTAGTGAGTTCATCGCGACCTATAATTCCATCCTCATCGTTTCTTCTTCCATTGACGCTTCGCCGTTGTACGTATACTTTTTATTATCATACATAAAAAGCTTGTAATCATTATAGATAGATTCCAAAAATAAAGCTACTAACTTCAGTACTGGAGCAATTAATTTCTTTTTTAACCCTAACAGTAATGTTGTGACGTTCTGTTTGTGTAGATGCTGGCATATTTTCATCCTTTACCATCGTTTTTTTGACCTGAAATATAAATATATAAATAAAATTAATTCTTAACATTTAAAGTGAAAATCATATATTACCTTAATAATATAAAAACCTTGAGAAATAACAGTATATCTTTTATGCTTGCATCAGATTTTAAATCCGTGGCATCCATACATTAAAGCATTGGGGAATTGAGTAAAATGTTTACTTCCCTTTATAAATTTATCTGAAACAACATTTATAAAGTATATTTTCATACTTACGTTATTTACAGCAAATTCAATCTCTTTCCTTGCAGTATTCTTCAAATTAATGGTTATCTCATTTGCCAGTGCCGGTAATGCTTCTTTACTTATGTCATGTAATTTTTGTTTACGTTTTGGTATTTCGCATTTAGTTTGATTGTCTATGTTTATATCGATTTTATTACTGGTTATTGAACAATCTTTAAAAAAACTATTTTGTTCTGTAGTAGTACTTGATTTAACACCCACAGCTTGAATGTAACTGTTTGAACTAGAACTTGTTGCAAAACTATTTTGTTTTGTAACTACAGATTGTGTCATAAATTTATATGTATTTTCATTATTATTACTAATAGTTTGTGTCTTGTGGTCTACGTTAACAGTCTGTGATTTAAATATTTCTTCTTTTGTTTTGAAACAATTTGGTGCGTTATATAAGTTATTGTTATCAATAAAATTAATTAACATCTGTTTATCTTCAATATCATCATTATATTCGTTTACCTCAAAACTATTCGATATCATTATAGTATTCTTAGGAATAGAATTAAAACTATCATTTGTAGCATTAGGAATTATTTTACTTTTCAAATGAATATCATTAGTGAAATCAAATGAGTTATCTTTTTTTTCATTACCAATACTTATTACACAACTTCTTTCATCATTATTAATAGTTTGTTCATATGTATCAATTTCTTTTTGTGCCATTTCCGAAGTTACTTGCTGATAGCAATCTTTTTTATTACTTTTAACTATATGATCATTTATATTATAATCATGTATTGATTTAAGTCTTTGTGATATACTTTGAAAATCCCTATTAGCTCTCTCATATTTCTCTAAAATTTTATTTAATTCTAATGAAAAGACTTTAGCTTCGCGTAATGAATTATATACCCTTTTATAATCAATAAAATTCTTCATGTCACGAGTATTAAGCCTAGTAAATCCAGTATTGTATTGGCATACATTATTATTCTCGTATTGCTTTAAATCTACAATATTATTAGTAATTGTCCCATAGTCCGATAGAGTTTGAGAGTTGTTAATTGATCTAGAAGTCATATTAATTCGATTATAGTTTATATTTTTATTCGAATTGAATTTAAATACATCATTAATACAAGTTTCAACAGTATTTTTAGGTAATTTGATTGGATGATATATAGCATTGTCGTAGCCAGAGTTACTACAGGAACTTATAAATGAAGGTAGTACAAATTTTCTTTTAAAAAAATCCTCTGGTGTACTACTAGCGTCCTCATTAAAATATGAAGACACATCTCTAGTTATATTAAATCCTCTAAAATTACTTGACATTGCGTTTTTGATATTATTTTTAGAAGGATTGTTCCAATAGCTTGGAATTCGTGTATTATTATTAACTGAAACATACCGAATATCATAATCATGAAAATCTTGTTGTACTTGTTTTCTTATAACTTTATTTGATCTGTCACAAATGCAATTATCATTGTCATCCATTCCACAAGTTTGCTGAAGACAGTTTTCGCAACGACAATTGTTATGCCTGCTCATACCAGTTGACATCTCGTGCATTAAATTCGTAGATAATGGAAAACCATGACTGCGTTCTGTATAATCACAAGGAGAGAATTGAGATTTGTTGCCTTGGTTATCTTCTCCTACCGGTGCTACTACTATGGTCCTGATTTTCTTTTTAGGCATTGTTTTACATTCCAGACATTGACACGGTTCACAGTCACAAAACTTTGATAAATTGTCAATGCATTGAATACAATCGCAAGGTTTACAATCACAACTTTGAATTACATTAGAATTTATAATGCCCTTGCATTGACTTCTTTCGCAGCGAATACATGGACAGACAATTGGGGATTGTTTTTTAATATTTTCTTTATCTGTCAAGATTTTAATGAAATTGATACAATCGTTGCATTCACAAGGAGCACATTTGCATTGTTCGTTACTGTTTTGAAAAGATTTACCGACAATACATTTACAAACTTTGCAACTACATGCCTTATAAACTTCTTTTATACGCTTAAAAATATCATATTTAGACATTTTCTTTATTACTTTTTCAGACTGATAATTAGAAACAGATTTTTTTAAATCTTTGAATGGCTTATTTATAATTTGAGCACTTAACTGTGCAGTATTTGGACTTATTTCTTTACGAGAATAAGTCGGAGTACCAGTACAAATTTGAGCAGATGGTTTATCATTAATATCATTGACATTATTAATTTTATCTTTAGATTTCGTAATTTTATATATATATTTAGACTTCTTTTTTGTTATATGAATGTCATTCTTATTATTATTATATTCATAAATGATTTCTTTTTTGAACCGTTCCTTCTTATTTATTGATACTTTTAGTTTCTCGTCACCTTTAATCATGCTAGATATAATATCTATTAACACTTTTGGTTCTCCTCCATCATTTGTCACCTTTGTGTCATCATCATCATCTTTTATTTCGATAGAAACATCAGACATGCTATTATTAATATTTACTTTTTGATTTGAATAAACAAGGGTCGTTTTAGAATTATTATATTTTCCGCAAGTACATTCATTAATATTTTGGTTCCTTTTTGTGATATTTGTGAAACAGCGTAGAGTATCGCAATTAGTACACGAACAATCGGATGCATTTAAAATCTCTGTATTAGAATTAATTTTTATTACACGTTCAAACTTTTTGATATCCATTGCCAATTTATATTTCAGATATTATTTTAATAATATGGTTGACTACCATAAGTACAATGATGTTTTTTTGATCTTGGTGAATCTTCTTTAGAAGGCGTGGGGACACGTGCTAAACTGCGACAACATAAGCTTGATGTCTTTACGACCTGCAATAAAGTATTTCGTGTTACTTAAAAGGAACTGTTAAATGGAACGTTCTTTAAAGTAATTAAATAATAACAATTTAAAGACATTCTTTGTGTTAGATATTTTACAATCTCTAAAGTTGCTACAGATTGTATTATTATAAAGTTGGATATTTAAATTAGCCCCATTTTAATTCTTTTAATTCCATGTCTTAAAGTTTAAAGGTCTGGGAACACCTACCTCGTATCCAATTACAAATATTAATCCATTAAATAAACTATATATAATAAGCAGAGAAAATATAATTTTGCACCAAACTCCTGTGGCTGGTTTTATTAATTTAGGTTTTAAATATTATATTAACCCATTATAGGAGAGGCTTATATTCAGCAGTGGATAGGTAAGGGATCATAAAATGATGTCATCATCAACATTGTTATTATCGTGATTAGTCCATTATCACTTGATTAACAATACTGCTATCATCTCTGATCCTTTTTGTGAATATTAAAAGATTTTTATACAATTGCTAATACATTTTACACTTTTACAAATATACTTTAAATTTATTTAATAAAATGATACCATTTCTTTTTCAGATTTACATTTTTAAAATAAATATTGACAAATATTGATTCATAGTGTGTTTCAAGTTGATAGATATTATTAGGCACAGTTTATTTTTTTATTATTTGACATCTCTTCACATACGTTGACAATTTCTATTCGTACTTCTTGACGGATATTTTTTTTTATGTGAACATTTTCATATATCCTATACGTAATAAGAGTCAAAATAGTACTTTGATTTTTGCCTGGTCTTCTTACATAGGTGTATTCCACTGTGGTGTCCTTTTCTAAACAAACATGGGGAATCACAACAGTTAACGTAAACCTCTACTTTAAGACATAATAATAGGGTTGGTAAGATAATCTAAAGGTATTGCAGCCAATAAGTGGGTTTCTTTAGGGGTTATCGACCCTAACGCAAATGACATCCCAAGTATTTCTAGCGTCCATAGGCTTCTATGGATTCCTGTTGATTGTTTGCCAACTTTGCAGTATTTAAAAATCTACTCTTAGCTACCATCACGCCCATGGCAATCTAAAAGCCTCTCTTTTGAGCACTTTCTCTTGAGAAAGATGTACTATACTGGCCAGGTAGCTTACTATGAGGTTTTCAGTTTACAGTCTCCATGATACCATGAAAATTAAAGAGTGGTGATATAAAGTACTAAATACCATCTGTTATTAATTCACATACTTTCATGTACTGACTGACACAAACTTAATACGGTTTTCAATAACGTTACGTTTTAAACTTAAATAATAACGGAAAACGAAGCAGGTATTGGAGAGGTACTAAAGTAGGTAAGGTAGGTATTAAACATTGCAGAAATGATAATAAAACAAAAACAACAAAATTAAATACACATTGTAATTCAATGAAATAATTTTATCGCAATTAAAACATTTTTAATAATATACAAAGTAGTCATGTTACAAATCTCTAATTTGTGAGTGATGTTAGGTAAAAATAAACACTGATTCGTCAAAACAGAGACATCTATTTACATACTATTTCAAAATAGTTGGCACGGAAACGATGAGTTAAATAAAATAAAAAAATTGATAAAACACGTCGAAAATAATTGAATTCTTATATTCGAAATGTAGGTACGCTTGTTCGATATGTTTCGCTTATATTTAATATTAAAGAGTATTATTATGATACAAATTTATTTACACGTCGTAAATATACTGGCTAAACTAATGAAGGCACCAGAGTGAGGTCGGTGGAGGTTTACATCTGAAACGAGAAAATTAAAATTAAATGAAACAAAATAAAAATATTTTAGTCATTAGATAGTTCATAACGTAAATATAAGAAACATTCGTTACAACAGAGAAGTAAACAAAAGAACAAGTTGTTGTTGTTGCTGAATTCAAAGGAAATTTGAAAGTTTTAAAACATACAGGTTCTAATGTTGTAATGAAACAAATAGTAATACTTATAGCATCAAATTACATTAAAACAACAAATCAGTTCATAGAAGTAATCGTATAGAATTAGATAAAAATATAATAAATTACTTGGAAAAATACAGTGAACTCATTAGTTACAATAATATAGTTTATTACTTTTATTACGTTTATTACATTTATTACTTACAATAATATAGTTCTCATTATAAAAGTTATTAAAAGTGATATAATAACATTACTTATAACTGCAAACAGATCTAATGAAGTAAAAATAGCATATTGAGAACAGATATACCTACATAACTTCGCACGATTGGCTGCATCAGACGTCCGTGCTCCAAACTATCGCATTTGTACCCAACGCACAAGATGGACAATTCTGGAAAGCAAAAATACATGTTAATCCTTATTAATATTGTAAATGTCAAAGTGAGTTTATTTGTTACTTCATAGCGCTTTAACTACTTAACTAAACACTATGGAATTTGGTATATACGTACTACGTAGGTTGGTTAATGAACATATTCTGGTGACGCAGACAAAGTCGCAGGTAAAAGTTAGTAATAAATAAATAATGGGATGACATCCTAATATATTGCAGAGTCGATGGATGCAACTAGCGCAGAATTGCACTTTGTTGCCAAATATGACGCAACACAATAGTAGATAACAGGGGGGAAGGCATTGTTAGTAATGCAACCTACCAGTCGCATTGTACTCATTCAGTTAGCAGTGTACTCATTCAGGTCGACCTCCACGTGTTCCCCGTGGAAACCATCGTGCTGAATTTCAAGTGTATGGGCATCACGATGGGCTAACTGACCTGCATTTTCATCCTCATACATGTAGTATGTATAGAATGTCTTTAAATTGTTATCCATCGTTAGTGCAGGCGGAGTTACTATTCCATTATCATTCATAAAATAGAAGTGGATAACATAATGATAATATTAATAAAAAATAGTGGTAAATAAACGTATATACGTATCGAAAAATTTAACAGTACTTCATGAGATTCTACTATTATTATTATATTACAGAATACTAGTACACTGTCCCATAACACAATAGTTTTCTATTTTAGATCGTTTCAGAAATTTATCCTACTAACTCAATTTACATATAAATGCACAATAAAATACTTTATGGGAGAACATTAAAATTATTTTGATCCTTACTTGTTCTTGCTACGTTAAACTCAATTATTTAAGACGATTTATACTCAATTTGAGTGTTACGTTCACCATTGTGAACTGTAGAGGGTTACCAATTTTCATTAATTGACCCATCAGCTCTATGCTCTACTAAGTCATTTAGTATAAAATATAACAATACTTACAACTATACTTTCAATGGCATTAGCTAATTGTTCCTCCATAATCTTAACGTCGCCGTGATCCAAAACTTCCTGAAATGAGAAATTTTAATTAGGAAATAACACTCAACATAAAAAAAAAGTCTTGTAACTTATACTAAAAATACAGAGAAATTACAGAGTTGAAGATGATTAATGTTAGATAGAGCCAATAGGGTTGTTTCTATGGCGTCATTTCACTAAACCTATCTCTTAATCTAATATTTTAATTTGATAATTTTACAAAATTAATCTTTTATCATCATAAAGTTATCATCATCATCATCTCAGCTATTATCTGTCCACTGCTGGACATAAGCCTCCCATATAGGGAGTCTATAAGGTCTATAGACCGCTATAAAGAGCGCTCCTGAGACACCTGCTATAACCGTATAATAGTTTATAATTAACAAAAAATAACAAAAATTATAATAGTTTTGATTTAAATCGATTAAAAAAATTTGTTCATATCGGTATTTAGAATAAAGAGTATGTTACGATATTAAATTGAATTTATTTTAAGGATAAGTTTAGAGAAAAGGTGCCTGTGAATCGATCCAAGTGCAGACTGACCTGCTGGCAGACGTTGACGGCGTCGGCGAGCGCAGGCAGCGCGGCACAAAGCCGCGCGGCGGCGCACGCGCACGCCACGCTGGCGAGCCGCGCCGCGCCGCGCACCACGCCCGCGTTGCCCGCCGCGCCCGCGTCGCTAGCCGAGCTCCCCCCGCTCGCGTATGTCACCGACGACACCGCGCGCTGCCACTCCTACAAACCGACCGGGATGCATGACAAAACAAACTCAACCCCACATTATATTAACTTACCGAAAGAAATTGATAACTATAGAAATAAATTAACTAATTATAAACTCAGTATCAAACCTATCTTGAATTTCTGAAAAGGACGGATAACTAAAAAACTAAATAAACTAAACAAAACTCCAATAGCGACGGAATAGGTACATTTTGATTTTTATGACCATATTTTTTTATTATTATTATTTTAGCCGTTACCTGTCCACTGATGAACATAAGCCTTAAGCCATAAGGGGAAAATTGCTAGTAATTAGGAAAGGGTAAAGGAAATGAAAAGGAAGGGATAAACTATTCTATGCCGGGACCATATTACTGATAGGAAATAATAAATTGCCTTGTCTACTATTAATGCTGATACTTTATAATAGTATGAAGATTTTGAACAAATCACAGTATATAGTATCTACTGCTTTTTAGCAGTATAAAATAGAATAATTAAGTGATCACAGTGATAAAATTGTGATCAAAAATATTTTGTAGATATTTTATTTAATTAAAAATGTATTTATTTAAATCCAAAATGATCACATCTAATGAAAACACTGAATAGTAAGAAGATGCTATATCGCTTTAGCCCGCTGTGAGTAATAATTTAGTTTTAGGTTTTATGTTTCCAATATTATGTCTCTTAATAGAGAACTAATCAACATTATTGCATAATGTATATCTCCCTTAAATATCACATTTTATAAGATATGGTTATTATCAATATAATGTATTATATGTAATAACCATTATATGGATCTGGTGATCATCAAAATCAAGATCATCAAGATGTAACACTATTTTATAAACCACAACCATTGTTGTACTGTTTAAAATTAGTAAAATCAGAATTACGAAATTGAATGCAGCTAACATTAGATATTTAGTCACAATATTATAAGATTATAATGGATTAAATTCCAATACCATACTAACCTCTGTATCAGTCTTAGCATCAGCGTCTCCGATGGACCTAACGAGCTCCTTCGATATCGCCATTAAGAGGTAATTTGTGATTTTCGCTTTGGTTTCAACAGTCACATCTCTGCCTAACGGAGAGATCTCTTCACATAACTTCGTTAAATCATCGTCAACTGTGTTGTGTATCCGTTCAAATAAATCTTCGATCAGTTGGCTGACTAGCTGACTCCTCATCGATGGACACGAGCAACGCGAATCGGACGTTATGTAGCTCATACTATGATGCATTCTTCCGTAATCTACCTTCTTCGGTACTGCCGTATATATCGAATATCCTTCGTCTACGTACTCCGTTCTCTCTGGCTTCAACTCAACCCGAGACGCGTGATACGTCTGCCTCATAGATTCACTCCTCATCTCCTCCAACTCCTCAGTTTTAATGGACAGCTCGTGACTTATCGTCTTTAGTTTTTCATCGCATTTTCTCTTGCACTGCGTTAAAGCTTTCTGCGTCAACGCTAACTGCTTTTCCAGAGATTCGACCTGGGAACACATTTCTTCTTAAAACGTCTTCCGTTTCCATTTCATGCATATTTACACGGCACCAGATCACAGCATACGGACATGCAATGCTTTCGTGAACCGAATTGAAACGACCGAACGTGTGAGAAGCAAACATGCAAATTAGTTAAGAGAGCAGGTTGTAAACATTGAAAGCTTTAAGTGCAAATAAGCAACTACACATGTAGACGCTAACCAAAACCAATAAAAAATACATTTTACTAAAACATATTGAAAATAATCAATCTATACGAGTATTTGTTATTATCAGAATTTAAAAAAGAAATAAAAAAACAAAACAAAAAACAAACACACCGAAATTGTATAATTGTAATTTTCTTATTATTAATATTATTTTACTTTCATCCCCATAATAAAACTACAAAACATAGTACATTACCTCTTCCTTCAATTCGCTGTTGGTTACTTCTAGCTCTTGATTATTTTTGCATGTTCTATTAAGTTCTCTTCTGATACACTCCAAATCTCCCATAAAGGACATCTCGGTCTTTTTAGAAAACTCCTTTTGACTTTTCAAGTCGTCATCTAATTGTCTATTTACTTTTCGAAGTTGTTCTATTTCCTTCTGTAAAGTATATAATATTTACATGCTAAATATCTACAAAAATGGCATTCATTTTTTATCATAAAATATCTGAATCTATATTTGCATTGCTGTATTTTAGTTTGAATAATATGGAAGTTACATTACATTTAGAAATGGCAATGTGTGAGCACTATGGACGCCACATGATATTATATGATATCTATGGGGCTCTTCATTTCTATAGATGTGAATTTTACTACTTTTCGATATGAGGAATGTTAATAAGACCAATAAAAACTAATAGAAATTTTGCGTCTGTTTGTCTGTATGTTTGAACCGGCATCACGCAAGCTAAAGTCTAATTTAAAATATGGTGTATGTATTTTATATTGATACGCCATTTAGAAGTATAATTTTTCATTGGTGTTGTCATTATCTACTTTCAAATATATAAAAAATGAAAATCTGACTATAATAAGAATTGATTATATCTAATTATGAATTTAATCATCAAGTTTACTCTTTATGCTTTTAATAAAATGTATATGTTACCTTAAATTTCGCATCAAGGGTCTTAAATGCTGCTTCAGATTTTTTAGCTTCTGCATCGGCTTTAGAGAACATAGCTGCTAAGTTGGTGTTCTGCGTCTTCAGCACTTGAGTGTCCCTCTCGGCTTTCTCGAGGGCCACACGCATACCAGATTCTGACTCTTCTACTTCTTTCAACTTCTTCTTTAAGGGCTCGAGACATTTCTTCCAATGATCTCGTTCTGATTCTAGTTTTTTGACCTGGAATTTTTGTTATATATAACAATAAATTTACATAAGAAACATAAATACACGTATTTAAATTTATGAAGGAAAACTGTTCTAATTTCTTTATTGGTCCCTTAAAAAGAAAAACGACATGTAAATAAAAAAGACAAAAAAGTTCATAATTATAAAGCAAGGCAAAATCACCTATAACCTGCTATTTTCATTTACAAATTTTGTTACATCTAAAATATTTTAAATTAGTGTAAAGATAAAATTTTGAAACAGTATAAAGACAAATTTGTTTTACCTTTCCTTTCAGCTGAGTTTCCATAGCTTGTGAATCCTCAATCTTCTTCTTATAACCTCCTTCCATTTCAGCCCACATGTCGTCCGCTTGAGTTAACATTTCCAAGTACGCCGTTTCCCTTCGTTCAAGTTCCGCAACCCTGTTTTTCAGCTCTTGTTCGCTGATCAACAGAGCACGAATCTTACTACCCATCGCTGGGTCAACGAGTAACTGCGGATAATAAAATTTTCTCTTTATTGTTATAACCCTTAACATATATGCATATTACCGCCAAATTGTAATATCATTTAATTCCAAAATCAGCAGTATTATGCTTATTATAAACCCATATGATTCTTAAATTTGACAGTCACAGCTACTCAGTTCAGCTATTCAAATTGTTGCCTTCTAATGAAATTGATTTCTAACCGTTGGTCTGGCCAGAAAATTAACTAAATGAATTCACCATCAAAACTCAATAAACCCTAAAACAAGGGTCTCATGCATCGCAAGTAAAATAGAAACTAATTGTTATGCAAGTGAAGTTACGTGTAGTGAATACTATTTAAAAATAAATAAATAACTTGTATGTAGGAAAAAATTGTTTTTTTTTTATATTTAACAAATGCCCCACACTAACAGTACGCACCCTCCAAAGGGAGTTTGTTTGCAGAAAGAATACTATGCGCATGACAATATATTTCGTAATATCCATAGGGTTGTTCATGTCTTTAGGTGAAATTTACTACTTTCCATTAATGAGTTTACCCTTATGACTTGTTTACCAATTCATATTGCATAAAAAATAACTTAGAAATTGTGAAAAAAATTTGACAAGGAATTTTTTTTTAAATAAACAATAAATCATAAAGTTTCATTTCAAACACGTGTTGTTTGTTTTTTGCCTTTAGATTAAAGTTAAGGCTGGCACAATAAACAGTTAAATAAATGCAAGTTTAAATTTCAATCATAACTTCATACACTACTTAATTTGTGTTTATTATTAGTGTTTTAAAATTTAAGTTTACATACATTTCAAATATGAAGCAATTCGATTGAGTTTTCAACAGAGGAATGGTCATGGTTAACAGTTTTCGTGTTACGTTCACGCATGCTTATTACGGTCTACTTGTGAAGTATATCATCAAAGATGCTCTAAACTGCTACAACCGTTTGTTTATTTTTTATAGTTGCACTTTCGAATTATATGTATAGCCCACTTTTAGAAAACTATGGAGTTAATATTATTGTTAATATATAAAGAATTTTTTGATTTTCCTCTTTGACTTTTGTATTTAACCATAAAAATACAACAATCTAATAGACATAGTTGAAAAAAATATTTAATAATGAAGAAATTAATATTTTCTGGAACATAAATTACTAAAAGTTGATGTATAAAAACTATAATAATACAAATACAACAACATAATTTTCTTTGAGTAGTTAAAAATAACTACAACTCACCTGCTCATCTTCTTTCTCCTTTTTGATCTTCTCTTCTATTTCCTGGATCTTCTCTTCTATTTTTTCTTTCTTAACCTCAGCACCACAAACAGTGGCCGCAACTTGTCTCTTAGCTGTCTCCAATTCTTCTTCTAAATCTTTTACTCTTGCTTCAAGAGTATTTCTTAATTGTGCTGTTTGTTCTTCTATTTGCTTCTTTTCGCCTATAAGTCTGAAAAATGACAATAATAACCTTTTACACTTTATTACAAATAATAATTTACAATTTGGAATTATTTTTGAAAATCCAATAAAATTCAATATATATTCATGTTCTAAAAGTTATTTAGAGTATTATAGTAACATAAAAATATGTTTGAGTTTTTTTAATAAAAGACGCTTTATTACTAAATACAGTTGACAACTATGCCGTATAGAGATGTATATAGATAAAAAACATTAGCATTCAGCCATTGACTTTCTATGTTTGCTCTGTAAGCAACCTAGCATAAAGACAGACTTTGTGATAGTACAGTCTAGATTACTCATTAGTATTTTCACTTCTTTCATAAAACAATAATTTTTTGTTGTGTTTCGTATAAAAAATTGTATCTACAAAACAAAATTACATAATTCTAGTTGTGGTAACCCAAAAGGCACGATAAGTTTCTGTTACTAGATATATCTCGTGGTTTTAGTATAAAAAGTGTTCCCAATCTAAAAAACGGTCTATCTATATCAAGTTTTAGCGTGATTTAGTAACAAATAACTAAACTCCTTCTAAAACAATGATATTACTTACTGTCTTATCTGCTGTTGTAACTCCATCACCGAGGGGGCTGGTGATGTGTTAATATCATTCCAAGCAACTAACGCTCCACAAGTTTGATCTTTATGTGACTCTTGCTTCACCTGAGATATGAACGCTTTCGTGTCTTGACTATAGGGGCACATTCGGTTCATGAGTATACGCTGAAAATTATTTTACATAAATATATTATTATTCTCTATTGTTCTAGAAATATCATCAAATCTAGCAGAGTCTTACTAAATTAAGTATTATATTTTGATTTGAAAATAATCAAATTAATTGTAATGAGAAGAAAGATATAAATATTTCTAATTAATTGCCAAGTTCTATTAAGCCTACATAATACATTGTTAATTAAAATTTAGTTGTAAAATGTATTTTACGAATATTAAAATTAATTCTCAAATATTGATATACAATTTAGTCATCAGCAACAGAAATATAAACCTTACCTGTCCACCAGAAGATAAGCTAGCTCCAATGGTTTGCACAACATTCCACGCTATTAACGCAGGCACTGCTTTCTCAAGTTTATCTAACCTTGTGAGAAGTTCATTCTGAAAAAAAAATAAAAAATTTAATCCACAGTTCACACACAATCTTGTAAAAAAAATAATATTCATGTGATAATATTATAACTAGTTGGCATTGGAGCCTTGCGTATATATTATGTACTTTAAAATGAAATTATTTAGATCAGGATATAAAGAAATGAAGTTCTATGATCTCTACTTTTCCCAAATTATAAAAAGCATCTAATAATTGTCGGACTTACTTCTCTAGTTTTTAAAGCACATTCCCTTTTAGAGAGCTCAGCCATCAGCCTCTCAGCCTGGGCTCTAGAACATTCCCTTTGCTCTGTCATATCTCTTAATTGCGCTGAACACAGCTCGTAGTCCATCTCAAGTCTGTAATAGATAAAAACATTAATAATTTCAAAATAAACATTAATAGGTATGTTAACAACTCGGGTTGATTGAAAAATATAATTTACAAAATTAACAATAGAAATTTAATTTAAAATGAATATACAAAGGTCTTTTAAAACACTACTAATTAATGCATAAAATAGCATTAGTTTATATAAATAAACATCTCAAGGTTCTTAAAATGTCCGTAAAACAACTTACTGTTGCCAATGTAGACGAGTATCATTTTCAATTTCTTCTAATTCGCAACATTCTTCTTCTAACCTCTCATATTTGTCTTGGAGTACCAAAAGTTGTGATTCGAGATCCTAAAACAATACCCAGATTAAAATCTGTAGACCGATATTATCAAATAATAGTACACCATACATGATATTTTCATTTACCTGTATCCTATTTTCCAGCAAAAATTCCTTCTGTAACCTCTGAGCTAGCTTCGATTCTTTGACGTCTTGCGCAGCCTCATAAATAGAGATCTTTCCTTCCAAAAACTTTAGCCTCCTCTCGTAATACTGTTTATGTTTCTTCCCCAACTTCACGCACCTGCACTCCAGGCTGTCTCCATCGTCCTTACTAGTTAATGTCCTATTTCTAACACCTTGCCTTTCAAGTTTCTCTCTAATACTATTCAGTCGTTGTATTTCAGTATTTAGTTCACCTGTGCATTCGAAACTTTCGTTGACATCAGTCTGAGTACTTTTTGACTCAGTTTCGACTCCTTCGAAAATTCCACTCTCTTGTAGTATATTATTGGGTTTCCTTTCTTCGCTACAGAGACTCTCAAGCGATTCGCATTTAAGGCCTTTTTGTTGATAAGGTGTGACTGTCGCGATTGCTTTCTGAGTTTTGTGCGATGGAATGTCAGTTTCGGATTTTGGTTTCAGATCACATATTCTCTTCGGTTTTGTCTACAAATACAAAATAAATTTAGATTTTCTTTATTACTGAAACATGTTTATAATGTCAAAACTAATGATCAATGAGTACATAATAATTACGTTTTTAATGACAATTGGATCCATAAAGGTTCTAACGCCAAAGTATGGATTTTATTAGTTATTCTTGTACATTGTACATTCCTATGTATATATAACTGTCAGGCCTTACAGTAATAATATAAGTAAAATATATGTATTAACTAGAAAAACTTTAACTAATGCTAATACTTTTTAATTAAATAGTTATTATTTTTGTTAAGTCAAATCAAGTAACTTTTATTAAGTAGTAACAACAGAGTACTTTGGATATCGAATACTTTATGAAGAAATACTACCTTGATTTATAATCAATTTATTTATTATTATCAAGAAAATCGAAAAAAGTTTTTAGTTATATAACCGTTATACGAACCTGATAGCATTCATCTTCGCTAACAGAACTGCTCAACGCTTGAAAATTGTACAGCAACATCAAGACTTGCTCTAAACACGATCTGTCTTCTGCCGACGCCGCATTTAGGATCATCTGTTCTAAATGCTCCTTGACTGGATTACTTTTCAAGGAATCACTGTTCTCTGAGTTTCTATCTAAAATATCGGCCAAGACTTGTGCTTTCGCAAAGTCCTCTTTAAAATCATCATGTGGTGTGCCTAAGTGTCGCCTAATGTTGCATGGACTACTCGGGGTATGGGGCGATTTGTACCCTGAATCCATCCGTTTGAGCTCTGGTGAAGCGGAGTCTTTGATGCGGGAGCCAGGGGACACGCAGCCTGAGTCGGAGTCTGTTAGGTTATCCCTAGCACCCTGAAAAAAAATATTATTTTAAAAATTATAAGGGACAATACCTACATAATACGAGTATATATATCATTATTGATACTTCAATATGTTATATGACATGTATAAAGCAAATATTGAAGAGGATTTCTAAAAAGTAATGAGTATAATGTTGAAATTTTAACAGTTATGTTTTTACTTTTTGATATATTTTTCTAAGTGTATTTTGGCTAGTAAATTCCGAACCAAATTCCGAACAATCACAAATGCATACTCCATAGTTTCAATATATACTAATAAAATTATAAATCTTCATTCTCTATCACATTATAGGGCTAAAAATAATCTCTCAAATTGGTTTTTCAATTTAGACTATCATTAGACAGAATTGCTTTTGAATTAATACTTTTGTAAATTAGTAACTATATAACACAATATCATAGACGTATGACTACTTATTAATACATTTACATACATACATTCATACTCACCCATCTTCTCTCACATATACGCACACTTTTACATTTCTCATTCACATGTCATAAACACACACACACACACACATATATAAGTATATATATATATATATATATATATATATTTCCATCACATACGACTGTCACTGAACCCATAAACTATTATTTCCCTAAAACTATAGGTTTTTTTTGTAATTTATGGTTTTAAATTTTTAGTATTACTCTGTTTCATATTATTTGTTTCACTTAAAACGTAATACAACAACATAAAAGAGGACACGGACTCCTAAAACACAGAGTTTTCATACCCATGAGGAGTTAAAGTCTTTAGACTATTTTGTGACGATGAGTGAAATAAAAATTTACAAAAATAAAATACTTAATTTAACCTCAGCTGTTTCTCATCTAATATACCGATGTCGTATATAAAACATAAGATATATAGAGCAAAAAGGATACAGGTAGGTTCAGAAGATACTTGAGTGTCGTAAAATAAAGTATTACATACGCCAGCACTTGAAAGACACCTACACGGTACTTAAATTATATAAATTGAGAATAATACGGGTCACGTAGTACGGTAGTAACTATTATATAATCTGTGATACGGGTTTAAATGACTGAGAATCACAATGCGATTCAATTGCTCGCTTAATATGATAATATAAGTATACTTGTATGTCGCTATGTTGCAATCATGGTAACATTACGTGGTATTATAGACTATAAAAAAATACGGTTGTTGGTCGCAAAATATGATAGGAAATGAAGATATTTTTTTTTTTAATACAGTAAAAGCTCATTATTCACGCTTCCTTTATTCGCGCTTTTGCTATTCGCGGATTGAAAAATTGTGACTCAATTCCTATATTCGTGGTTTAAAAATTTCTTTATTCACGGATCTAATCGGTGCATTTTAATAAAAAGGATTCGGTGTTCTAATAATAAAGTAAAACAGACCTTATTACAACAACGCCTAAAGTATGTTGTCAAATGTTATTGCCGCTGTATAAATGGTTCGGCTTTCCATATTCACGGTTTCTTTATTCACGGCATATTCATGGAACGTATACTTCGCAAATAAAGAACTATTACTGTATTCCTGTATAGGCTTTGAACCAATTTTGACCTATTTATATATATTCGTAACAGTTTGACTGAATATTTTTTGTCAAAAAAAAAAACAATTTAGAATTTGGAGAATACTGGAATTCAACACAATGTATGTCGCATCAGTTAATAGATTCTTTTATATTTGTATTGCAATAACATTGGCCGATTATATGTTATTGTCTAATATATGATAATCATTATGTAAATATTACCAGAATTTTACATATAGGTATGTAAATAGCGATCACGACTTCAGAAGGTGACTTGTATATAGACACATTTGCTCATACATGGCAGTGTCATTATAAATATTATAAAATCCAATTGTAGCAGCACGTTACTGAACGTTCTTTGTGCTAACCTTAAGCAATGTACATACACAACAACATAAGGAAACAAATGCCACTCATTACGGATGTTGTAGTACGTTAATAGCACAAAGGAAATGGTTAAGCAACCGTTCTCTACGTAACATTATTAATATTTCAATAATTATTCTAAACAATTAGATTTTGATCGATAAGAAAACTGAGATTTTAATCTGTTAAAAAATTTATATTGACTAATATCTCATCACTATTATTACTTTAAAATAAATATAATACGATATACATATGTCGTATTATAGTTGTTTTACTTCATCCAAAAATCTTCTTCAGAGGGAATGATGAAGGGATGAAGTCGAAACAGTTGTCGAAAACGACAAACTATCGTTCAATTTCCATTATTCACGTATACAGATATCCTTTTCTAACGGAAATTGAATATAATAGGATTTAAGAAATGATTATAAATTTTAAAAATCATATTAACACTATTTTTCATAAATACATAAGGTAGATTAAAAATATTTGAATTTCAAATATGGAATCGTGCAAAATCTGCTCGCAGTAAACAGATTTTGTTTCATTACATGCAATTTTATACTACGCAAAAAGTCTTCAGTGTTCTTACATAAAAAAGAAAAAAGTATAGAGAATTGATAGAAATAGCATTTTAAGTTCTTTTTAGTATACTTTTTTTAGCAAAAAGAAAAAAACAATTTAAAATTATTATAGGGCGTTGAAAAGCAAGCAAATTTACACCTCCACTAGCTGTTACAATATCGATCAAATACATTCAGGCAACGTTAGCGATAAAGCGTTTTATTAATCTGGTTCACGCAAGTGTGTAAACACATATAAATATTTAGATACTTATATTTAGCAAAGAACAGCTGAACTTTCTGTACTCAACAATTTATTACTTGATTGATAGTTTGCTAAATTCGTCTTAGTGCTTACAAGTGCCTACTTTAAGAAATAATTACTAAAACAAATAATAACCAGTTTAAAAAAAATTGTAATAATATTGCTATTTTCCTTCCTTTATTAAACCTTTGGACAAAAAATTTCATATAGAACGGTTTAAAGATAGAAAAGTTGATAAAAAAAAATTGAGATAAACATAAGACAAGCATTACATAGAAACATTGAAAAATATTTATATTTAGAAATAAAATAAGACAATAGGCGAAAGAAGAAAAATACAATGCACTATTGTAGGAAAAATGTAAAAAAAAAAAACAAAATATCAGAGTAAAACAAGACGTTAAATTGACAATACAGAAACCTCATACACGACCAAAATAACACCGATAAGTCGTTAGAAACATTATTAAATATACGAACCGTTATTTTTACGAGAATAGATACCTTCTTATACGTAAGCGATGGTTAATAGATACTATAGAATACAAATTGAGTGGGTCAGGAAATGTGCGCGGGTAACAGAGGCCTCTATGGTGTCTAATGAGTCACCGAGCGTACCACCTAATACGGATTTAAATTCCGGCTCCCACCTATTAAAAGCTTTTGTTGAACTGATGATGGTAGGCCATTAGACACGTGTAGGATTATGTCAAACCGATCGATCGAATACAAACTGTTGTTCAATGAAGTTCAATAATAGTTTTGTTAACGTTGTCTTTAGTATTTTTTTTTTCTTTTTATTTATTTATTATCACAAAAATACAGAATTACATTAAGTATGTTACATTAGCATTCAGAAACTACGTAGGTTTACATTAATGCTAAATACATTAAAACTATTTAACTTGTATCAATATCATGCAAGAGATATTGTTTTAATTTACACTCGATGTTGCTAATAGTAATATTATGCCGTACATCGGTGAGTAGTTCGTTAATAAGCCGAGGAACTAGATAGTCAGCCTATCTAAATCTATATTTATATTATAAAGAAGAAAGATTTTTGTTTGTTTGTTTGTAATCGATAAGCTTAAAAACTACTGGACCAATTTTAAAAAAGCAACGAGCTACATAAGCTATTAATTATTTTAGAAAATTCTATCTTCCTGTGCAAAGCCGGGCTGAATCACTAGCATTGTATATTTTTTAACAACTTCCAAATAGGTTCTTATTTCATCTAGTTTTTCAACCGACTTCAAAAAAGGAAGAAGTTCTGAAATAGATTGTATACTTTTATGTTTGTTACCTCAAAACTTCGTCGTTTGTAAACCGATTTGGAAACCTTTTCTTTACTTAAATTTTACAGATTGATCCCATAGGAATTTTATCAAAACCGATTTAGTGATTTGGCTTTTAAATAAAGGTAAGTGTTTTTGCTACGTCAACCATACTCATCATCTATCAAGTCGGATTTTTTAAGGAGCAAAATTTACTGGTTTGTGACTGTGTTAGACGATCACGTCTCTAATTCAGGGCCGATTTTCACAATTCTTTTTTGCGACAAATAGGATTTATATTATATATTATATTTAATATAGGTGATGATTCTATATTAACTTTGTGATTCTAGTAATTCAAAATGTATTTCTGACAATTGTGAATTTGTATTTTACTATACTTTGACATATTACAAAAAAGAATTATGTATATTTATCAATACATAGATCGATGACATGAACAACTATTCTAATCATGATCAGATACATTTTAATTGACTTATTTGCAATAATGAGAATCTAAAATGGTTGTAAAGTATGTAAATGTAAATGTGGGTTTTTCTTGTTCTCAGGTGTAAAAACGTATGGGCGGTTTACATTGTAACTCGATATCAGTCGTACCACGTACGGATTCCTCAACCTCAAAAGAGGATATAGGTTACATTCCCCGATATTCCCACGGGAATTATTTAAAAACAAATATATACAAATACCTAACTGATGTATTGTACTTTGTTCGTTTAGTTGCCTCTTATGATAATTTGGAAATTGAATGAAGTAATGATTTTTAACATATTTCAAAATAGAAAAGAGTCTCGATACGACCGTATTTTTAAATGTTACACGACATTTCACAATTCGGTACCGATTTCGATGATTTTTGCAATTGTAGACTTTATATATTTTTATTCCATACTAATTTTGTTAAGATAAAAAATTAACAATCTGTTTACTTTATTATGTTTCAGATA